TGCTTCATTGACTGCTTGTGTTGCTTAATCTCTTTATTATTAATTTAAGCTTAGATCTTCTTTCCCAAGAAATTGACGACATGCATCAGGGTTTTTTTTGTTTTTTTTTTTTTTTTTTTCGGTCTTTTTGAGACAGGGTCTCCCTGTAGCCCCAGCTGGCCTTGAACTCACAGAAATCTGCCTGCCTCTGCCTCCTGCACTGGGATTAAAGGTGTGTGCCACCATGCCCTGGCTAGAGCTTTCTTTTTCTTAATTTTCCCTCTTTAAGGACTCTCTGGTCTGAAATGTCCAAATGCTTGTCTTTCCTGTAGCTGTTTTTTGTTTTGTAGCTCTTTTCTGATTTTATTCCATCATAATTTGGTGAGATGCAAGGAACTGGGTCTGTGTGTGTGTGTGTGTGAACTTTATGACTTAAAATGTGGGCTATAAAGAAGCGCCTATATTCTATAGCTATTGGATGGAAATTCCATAGATGTTTGTCAAGTTATTTGGTTTTTGGTGCACCTTACCCCTGAAATTTGTTAATATTTTGTCTGGGTGATCTATTGTGGTCACTCATGTTTGTTTTATGAAATTAGGTACACCGTGTTCAATTCATTTCTATTTACAGCCAATATGCCTTCTTGATTGTTCTTTTTTTAGTACGTAGTAACTTTTTTTTCTCTTCTAATTTTGACTTGAAGTCTCCTTTTTCTGGTACAAGTGTGGCTATTCCAGATTTTTTTTTAATTCCATTTTCTTAGTGTACTGGATTTACGGGCAATTGTGAACTGCCAGATGTGAGAGCTGGGGACTGCACTCGGGTCCTCTGGAAGAGCAGTATGCACTCTGACCTGCTGTGCCATCTCTTCAGTCCCCCTTTCCTACTTCGTGTTTGGATGTTCCTCTCATGAAATTTATTTTCTGAGCACTCAATGTGACCATCACTCTGCGTCATCTGTGTGCATGATTTAAGTATCTTCTGCAATCTCTGTTTAGTCATCAGAATTGCTTTGGTTCATAATTTTGGAAGGCTTTCATTTTAAAATCCGTGTTAACAGGTAACTTTGCTGGATATCTTGGTTGGCACTTACTACTCTCAGTTCTAGAAATAATACTGTTGCCATTAAGGTTTCTGCTGACGTTGCTCATGTAGTTTGGATGAGTTTGCTTTTCTAAGTAACTTGGCACTTCTATCTTACAGATGTCAGTGGTCTGCCATATTCCTACCATTTTAACAAAGATGTGGCATGGAGAGTTTCTTTATAACCATGCCTGTTTGGGGTTCTAAAAGCCTCACATACTTATATCCATATCTTTCCCTAGTTCTAAGACATTTTCTGCTGTGACTTCAGTGAGTGGGGTTTTTATAAGCCTTTAGCTTGTCTCTCAAGTCCTCGTTCTTACCCCATGGAAATTTTAAGTTTAGTCTCTTGATCATGGTCCAAAGTTCTTCAGAGCACAGTCACGATGCTGTCTCAAAGTAGTGATTCCTCAACTTTGTTTTCAATCCCTGACAGATTGTGGATGTATGAAGAAGCTCACTAAGGCTTTTTTGGTCTCATTTTTCTTAACGTTTTGCTAAGGGGCACTTCTTCCTTTTCCTACCATTTTGCTCGCACCGTATGTCAGGGTTCATTGTTTCTTTTCATATCTAAACCTCTGTTTCTAGATTTTAGTGTGTCCTCCCAAGACTCTGTTGTTTAATGGTGTGCTCCTATACCTTTCCAAGCCACCCACTTCACCCTGCTGCCCCATGTTTGATGTTTTGTTTCAGATTTGCTAAGGTGCAGGAGAGTGCTGGTGGTCTATAGTCTGTAGACACTTCTCCTGGCCCATATTCTATTTGAACTATTTTATTACTTTAATTTCATGTGTATGAGTGTTATGCCTGCGTGTATGTAAGTACACCTGTGTCATGTAATGCCCACAGAGGTCAGAAGAGGGCATTGGATCCTGCTGGAGTTACAGATGGTTGTTAGCTACCATGTGGGTGCTGGGAATCAAACCTGGGTCCTCTGCAAGAGCAGCCAATGCTCTTAACCATTGAGCCATCTCTCCAGCCCCCTTTAAAACATTTTAATGTTTTTCCTTTATTAGTAAGTACTTGACCACGTATTTTAAAGTATTTTCATTAAAATGACTAGAATGGTTTGTCTTCTGGATTAAAAAAAAAATCCATATGTAAAATATACTACAATGAAAGGGAAAAAACTTCTCAGTTGATACATAAAAAAATATTTGATAAGAATTCAACAGCAGGTCATTAAAGAAAAAGCCTTAGGAAATTAGTAAGCCAATTTTAGTGGTCCATACCTCTAATCTCAGTACTTAGGAGGCTGAGGTAGGAAGATCAGGAGTATGACAGTCTGGGATACATACTGAGATCCTATCTTAACAACAATAAAAAAGGACAGAGAGAGAGGAAATGGGGAACAAAGGTTCCATTTAAGTAAGAAATTGGGTAAGATGCCCATGTATTTTTACTATTTACATTGGTTCTAGCCCATATTAACAAGTGTACGAACTGGAAAAGAGGGGCTAGAGAGATGGCTCAGTGGTTAAGAGCACTGGCTACTCTTGCAGAGGACTGGGTTCACTTCCCAGTACCCACCTGGTGGCAAACAACCATCCAAGACTCCAGTTCCTGGGATTTGACGCCCTCTTCTGATCTCTGTGGGCATTGTACAATACGGGTGCAATGTACATACATGCAGGCATAACACTCATACACATAAATAAAAATAATAAAATATTTTTTTAATTTAAAGAACTGTAAAAGAACAGGTGAAAGTGTATTTGTTATTTATATACAAAACAAAAAGAACATAAAATAATAGAAATAAGGCCAGCATGGTGGTGCATGCCTTTAGTCCCAGCACTTGGGAGGCAGAGGCAGGTGAATCTCTGTGAATTCAAGGCCAACCTGGTGAGTTCCTGGTCAGCTGGGGCTACAGGGAGACCCTGTCCCAAAAGATCATAAATAAATAAATAAATAAATAAATAAATAAATAAATAAATAAATAGAAAAATTGGCTTGCCAGGCTATAAAAGTCTCAATAAATTTCATAAGTTCAAACTACACAGTAGGTTATCACAGAGGAATGAGGTGATCTACAGTAAGGTCACTGGTTAACTTCTGTTTAAAGAGGTGTACTTCTGAAAATATTTTCAGCAGAATAATGTGAAAATACATCACAATGTGTTTCCATGCCAAGAAGGAACTTTATAACTTTAAATGCATATATTAGGGAAAAAGAAAACAAAGCATCAGTCATCTTAAGTATTCAAGAAGGTAGAGAAAAGGGCTGCCAGAGAGATGGCTCCACTGTGGTTAAGAGCAGAGGACCCGGGTTCAATTTCCAGCACCCACACGGTGGCTAACAATCATTTGTAACTGCAGCTCCAGGGGAATCCCGTGTCCTCTTCTGATCTCCACAACCATTGCATGACATGGGTGCACTTACATATTTTTTAAAAATCATTAATAAGCTGGGCGTGGTGGCACATGCCTTTAATCCCAGCACTCGGGAGGCAGAGGCAGGTGGATCTCTGTGAGTCGAGGCCAGCCTGGTCTACATAGTGAGTTCCAGGACAGCTGGGGCTACAGGGAGACCCTGTCTCAAAAAAAAAAAAAACTGGCATGAATTTAAAAAGAGGAAATGGGGGGACTGGAGAGATGGCTCAGCAGTTAAGAACACTGAACACTGGCTGTTCTTACAGAAGACCTGGGTTCAAATCCCAGCACCCATGTGGCAGCTAACAACTGTCCATAACTCCAGTTCCAGGGGATCCGACAGTCTCTTCTGTCCTCTGAGGGCATTGCATGACATGGGTGCACTTATCTACATGCAGACAATACACACATACGCATGAAAATAAATAAAATATTTTTTAAAAAAAGAGGACATGGGGCCGGGCGTGGTGGTACATGCCTTTAATCTCAGCACTTGGGAGGCAGAGGCAGGTGGATCTCTGTGAGTCGAGGCCAGCCTGGTCTACATAGCAAGTTCCAGGTCAGCTGGGGCTACAGGGAGACCCTGTCTCAAAAAAAAAAAAAAAAAAAAAAAGAGGACATGGGCTCTATATTTAAACAAACACATGTAAGGATATTAACAACTTCTGAAACTGGAGGGGTGGCTCAGTGGTTAAGAGCATATACTGCTCTTTCAGGACAGGAATTTGGTTCCCAGCACCCATGTTGGGCCTGTAACTCCAGCTCCAGGGGATCTGACACCTTCTTCTGGACTCATGCACATACCCACATACAATCACACACACATAATTAAAAATAATAAAAACTCTTAAAGAACAACTTCTGACAGTATATTAAAGAATTCCAGTGAAAAATAGGTAGATTTCTAGAAAAATACAAATTATTAAAATGGACAAAAGAAGTAGTAAATCATAATGGTATTATATTTACTGAAGAAACTGAACCTATCATTAAATGCCAACACTCTGAAAGTTGAGGCTAGAGAATCATGAGTTTGAGGCCAGCCTGGGTTACTGCATAGTGAGACCTTAAACACAAAACAGAGAAGGGAAGGGAAGGAAGGAAACCCAGATGTTGGGAACTCCCAGGCCTAGATGTATGTATAATTAAGAGAAAGCTTTCCATTTTTGATACCAAAACTTGATAGGAAATATTAGAAAAATTATAAAGACTTGAAAGTAAGTTTTAAGTACTTTTAGTTCTTTGGCTGTTTTTCTTCTTGGAAAAGCCATGCATACAGTCACCAGAATGTTCTTTCCAGATCATTTTTATATACTGTTGTCAGTGGAGAATCAATTAAATGGACATTTCCTTTCCTTAAACTCTGATGTCTTACACCCCTCTGGTGTATGTTTCAGATATGATTCTGAGGGTCAGAATCATTCTCCTCAGTATAATCAGAGTCTTTTGACACTACTGCTTCTTCTAGGGATTATGCCTTCCTGGGTTAAACCTGTATGAATAACTGTGGCAAGATTCACAGCTACAGAGACTTGACCTTTAGTTGGTTTAATGACTGTTTTAGGAAGCAGTACTGCAGGAGCAGCCTTGCAGCACTATGAAGCAAGAACTGCAGAGAAAATGGATCGAAGAGTTGAGTAAGCAAACAGAAGATGACCAGCAAAGGAAAACAGAAGAAAAAATGATAAATTCAAAGGTAATTTAGGTTTATGGCTTTAAGGGATAAAAATTTCCAAGTCAGCCAGGCGGGCGTGGTGGTGCACGCCTTTAATGCCAGCACTCAGGAGGCAGAGGCAGGCGGATCCCTGTGAGTTCAAGGTCAGCTTGGTCTACATAGTGAGTTCCAGGACAGCTGGGGCTACAGGGAGACCCTGTCTCAAAAAGACAAAAAAAGAAAAAAAAACCTCTTTACTCATGTAAATTTACAAATATTCTGAAACTATTTGATAAGACCAGAGAACTCAAATCTGCTTTTCTGAACCTGTTGACTGAATGGATTTAATATGGTTTTGCATAGCTTTTTAAAGCTTTTTAGAAATTGCATAATTTTTTGAATTTCCCACATTTTGCAAGCTAGTTATCTAAGTAAATAAGGAAGAAAAATACGTTTTGTTAGTTTTATGATGCATTTTCTGTTCAGTGTGTGACTTTTAGAAATTATCTTTGTCATTTAAGATTTTGTATGAGAATGATTGGAGAAAGTCTTAGCACTTTTTATTGTCACTGTTAGGGTGAGGACCACGACAGGTGGGCAATGCATTTTGATTCCTTAAAGAGTCATCCTGGCTCTCAGTCTCGACTGTCCTCTCAGTTAACCCACCAACACCTGGAATACATCTGTCTCTCTCCCAACACTCCGGACCTGGCTGATGTCAAAAGTGTAAACACACCTCCACCAGGAAACCAGGTAGAGTCTTCAGAAGAGCAAAGAGCAAAACCTGTTATGGATGTGGCTGTGGCACTCAGCCAGAAAACAAAGTAAGTTCATTTCTTACTATTTTCCCATTTTTAAGAAAGTGTGTTTTAATAAAACTGCTAATATACCCAGTTAGTTTCAGTGTGGCATTCTTGAAATAGAAATGATTAGTAGCTGTGTCTTAAGCAAAATAATTTAGCTTATTGAACTTACTATTTTTGGAGTTTTGAATAGCCACTATATATATTTCCAGTTTTCTCCGTTCTATGACTGCTCTCTTGGACCCAGCACAGATTGAGGAACGAGAAAGACGGCGACAGAAACAGTTAGAACATCAGGTATTACACTGTAAAACATTATTGGTTTTTGTCTTAATAAGTAATGATCATAGTCAATAAATAAGTAAATGGAAACTAAAATTCCTTTTATTTTCTTAGAGTCTAATGTGGTGCAAGCTGGCCTCAAATTTATGATATAGCCAAGATTGGCTTTGATTCCTGATTCCTGCCTCCACCTCCTAAATTCTGGGATGACAAGCATGCACTACCATGCCCACCTGGAAATTCTTATATAAATTTGCAGGATGGGTCTAGTTGTATCCTATTACAGATCTAATCCCTAACTCTAAGTGGCATTATGATGATAGAATTATCCTTACACTGAGAACCAGACGGTATCAATATCACATCTACCCACTTTCCAATAGAATCTTTACAAATATGTTGCATATATCAATTTGTACTATCATTAAACTAATATTAGCTATTTTTTAAATATTTATTTTTAGTTTATGTGTATGCGTGTATTGCCTCCGTGTTGGTAAATGCCCCTGTGTTGTGCAATCCCTGAGGAGGACAGAAGAGGCCGTTGGATCCCTTGGAACTGGCGTTACGGACAGTTGTTAGCTGCCATGTGGGTACTGGGATTCGAACCCGGGTCTTCTGCAAGAACAGCGAGTGTTCTTAATCACTGAGCCATCTCTCCAGCCCCAATATTGGCTATTTTTTTCTGTTTATTTCCTCAGAGTTCTGTTCAGTCATTGAAAGGAAACACATAAAGAAATGAAGTACAATTCTGATTTAAGATTAGTGATTTCCAGGCCAGCTAGGGCTACAGAAAAAGAAACAATTCTAGAAGGTGGGGTTGGAGAGATGGTTCAGTGGTTGAAAGCACAGACAACCTGGGTTTGGTTCCCAGCACCGATATCAGGCAGCTCTACCTATTCTCTAGTTCCAGGGGATCCATTAACCTTTTCTGGCCTCGATGGGCATTGCACAACAAGGTGCACTTAACATACATGTGGGCAAAACACACATACATGGTTTTTTGTTTTTTAATTTTTATTTTATGTGTATAAGTGTACTGCCTGCATCTAGGTAAGCACACTCATATCATGCAATGCCCACGGAGGACAGAAGAGGCCATCACATCCCCTGGAACTGGAGTTACGGACAGTTGTTAGCTGCCGTGTGGGTGCTAGGATTCGAACCCAGGTCTTCTGCAAGAACAACCAGTGTTCTTAACCTCCAAGTCATCTCTCCAGCCCCAAAACACACATACATGTAAAATAAAAATGTTTTTAAAAATCTAGTAGGTAGTATAAGAGGCTAAGATTAAAACTCATTTTAGTCAAATATTAAAGGAACTTAAATGTGTTTGATGGTTCTTTTTTCTGAAATCAAAACCGTGTGTGTGTGTGTGTGTGTGTGTGTGTGTGTGTAAACTAGGTTCCTTGGCTACAGATAGATAAGCAGCACTGTGCCCAGATGAATAATTATTTTAAACACTTTGATGTGTGAGTAATTAAGCCAAGTTAATGTTACTGTTTCTTTAGTTTGGTGAAAAATTTAGAGCATCTCCCATTTATCAGAGAATGCTGAGTACCGAGATTATTTCTTTAGTTGTTTTTCCTTTTTGTGTTCTTGCAAGGTAAGCATTCAACTACTGAGCTATAATCCCTTGTTTTTCTATCATCTCTTCTATATATATTGATGGAACAAATGGAAGGTGAAGCACATTAGACATTTTAGTGTTACTCATATAGACAATTAAGAATTTATTCTCGCCGGGTGTGGTGACGCACAACTTTAATCCCAGCACTCGGGAGGCAGAGGCAGGCAGATCTCTATGAGTTCAAGGCCAGCCTGGTCTACAGAGTGAGTTCCAGGCAGCTGGATATACAGGGAGACCCTGTCTCAAAAAGACCAACAAAGAAAAAGAGAGAGAGAGAGAGAGAGAGAGAGAGAGAGAGAGAGAGAGAATTTATTTTCATCAAAACAAATGTTCCATGGGTATTATTTGTGATAGCAACTTAGTGATTATCTATGACTAGAAAGCCATCACTGCTCAGGTGGAAGAGAAGCGCAGGAAGAAGCAACTGGAGGAAGAACAGAGAAAGAAGGAGGAGGAGGAGGAGGAGCGACGCTTAGCACGGGAACGAGAAGAGCTGCAGAGACAGTATGAAGAGGACATTCTTAAGCAAAGACAAAAAGAAGTAGGTATCTATATCTTAACTGTCAATATTTAAGCATAACTATGTATTCTTTAAAGAACAATAAATAGAGCTGGGCATAGTAGCGCACACCTTTAATCTCAGCTCTCGGGAGGCAGAGGCAGGCAGATATCTGAGTTCAAGGCCAGCCTGGTGTACGTAGTGAGTTCAGGACAGTTAGGGCTACAGGGAGACCCTGTCTCAAAAAGAAAGTAAAGAAGGAAAAAGGTTGAAGAGTCTTATTTTTCACATGATAAAGTTCTCAAATGCTGCACTGCTTTGGCCTTTCTGTAATTGGAGGAGGTCAGGGTAAATTATAGCACAAAGCTAACGTGATCCATATGCTTTTGACTGTGATAGCGTGGACACTAGGCACATAGAACTTAGTAATTCTAGATTCTGGGCTGGCTGAATGGTTCAGCAGGTAAGGGCACTTGTGGCCAAATCTGACAACCCAAGTTCAGTCCTTGGAACCCATATGGTGGAATGAGAGAACCAATTCCAAAAGCTGTCCTCTGACCTACAAACACCCCATAGATAAATCTAAAATAACAACTCTAGGTATTATAAAGGAGTAATATTGGCCTTTCTGTCCATACCCACCTGGGAATGAAGCCATGTTTTCGTATTGCATAGCTGGGAACGCTGATGGAATTTTGGCTATGTCGGAGGTTTCCTTATGCTCTCTAGCCTTTTCAGTTGATGTCTGGCTGGCTAGCAAAACTCTTCTATTACTAAGTGATCAGAGACAAGGCAGGTGGGATAGTTTCAAGTACCCTGTGTGACCTGACCAGACAAAGATTGGATCATTATACAGTGACATTTAGTTGCCAGATTTAAAAGTTTAAAGATTAGAGCCAGGCGTGGTGGCACACGCCTTTAATCCCAGCACTTGGGAGGCAGAGGTAGGCAGATCTCTGTGAGTTCAAGGCCAGCCTGGTCTACATAGTGAGTTCCAGGACAGCTGGGGCTATAGGGAAACCCTGTTGCAAAAAGACCAAAAATAATAATAGTTACTATTATTATTTAAAAAATAAAAGTTTAAAGAGCAGAACACAAAGTCTGCATTTATTTGACTTTTGTCACTTAGTACTTTCAAAAATTGGACTTTTGGAAAAGGGATATATGGTCTGGGTTGCAATTTCATTAAATAGGCTGAGGTAGCTGGGCATAGTGGTGTACACCTGTAATCTCGGAACACTTGGGAGGCAGGCAAATCTCCAAGTTCAAGGCTAGCCTGGTCTACATACCAAGTTTCAGGCCAGCCAGGGCTACATAATGAGACCCTGTCTCAAAACACAAAAATAAAAGTATATTAGAATTATTTGCTCTACAAGGCCAAGAACTTTGCCCTGTTACTGTTCTACATCTAACATTCTATAGGAAAAGCTTGCGAAATTTTTACCAAGTGAGGATAGTCAAAATTTCTACTGAAAGAGTTTGGTAATTGTATTTAATAACTATGTACATACTAACCTTGGTAGGAAATCATGACTCTCAAGACAAATGAGCTATTCCACACAATGCAGAGAGCACAGGAGTTGGCACAGAGACTGAAACAAGAACAAAGAATCCGAGAATTGACTCAGAAGGGCCATGATGCCTCTGGGCTCATTAAAAATCTTGGTGGTAAGTGATTAAACAGTTTTTGAAGATAACTTTAAATACTCAGTCTACTTTTAAATCTTTAAATATATACATTAACTGAGCTTTTCAACTCACCCATTAAGTTTTTTAAATTTATTTTTATGTGTATGACTGTTTAGCCTGCATGTGTGTCAGTGTACCGACCATATCATTGCAGTACCTTCAGAGGCCAGAAGAGGGGGTTGGATCCCCTAGAACTGGAATTATAGATGGTTGTAGCTGCCATCTAGGTGCTGGGAACCAAACCTGGGTCCTTTGCAAGAGCAGCCAGTGCTCTTAACCACTGAGCCATCTCTCCATTCCCAACTAACCCATTTTTAATAAGAATGCTTGTTTAGGAAGTTGCCTTAAAAAGTTATACTTTGCAGTGTCTTTTTTACATAATTTTTTTTAAATTTTTTATGTGTATGTGTGTATTGCCTACATGTAGGTAAGTGCACCCATGTCGTGCAGTACCCGCGGAAGACAGAAGAGGCAGTCAGAGCCCCTGGAACTGGAATTACAGTTGTTAGCTGCCATGTGGGTGCCGGGATTCGAACCTGGGTCTTCTGCAAGAACAGTCAGTGTTCTTAACCACTGAGCCATCTCTCCAGCCCCCTTTACATAAATTTTTATAATAATCCTGACATCAGTAAAATGTGTACTTTCATACTTATTTTTAGATTTTTTCCTAAATTCAGTAAGGGATGAAAATACAGGTAACTTTCATAATAAATTGAGAGGCTACGCTTTCAAAAATCTAACCTTTCAAAAATTTTACTATGGAGTTCATTGTGATTATTCTAAAAAGTCTTGTGTTTAGTTACTACTATACCTACTTCTTTCAGTGCTGGGAATCAAACCAAAGTGAACATTATCACTGAACTATATCCCTAGATCCCATTTGTAATTTCTTTTAATATTAAGTGCCATTTTAAGACAATTTATTTCTCGTTGTCAGTTGATACAGTACAAGTGGATTATAAGGCATCTACTAATATTTCAAATTCAAGACATGACTCTGATGAAGCTGGTGGGAAAACAAATAAATGTATCAGTTCTACAACTTCCCCCAAGAAGGATACTGGTGTGCAAACAGGTATTCATACAAAAGTTTTTGATTTAAAACTTACTCAAACGTCAATATCAGATTCCATGTCAAGTAAGCTGAAGAAATCTGAGGTTGTTTTTTTGAGACAGCGTCTCAAAAACTGTCCTTAAACTGGCTCTGCAGTCAAGAACTTCGATCTTCTTGCCTCTGACTAGGTTGAGCACTGAGATTACAGGCATGTATCATCATGCCCAGTTTGTGTGATTCTGGGGATTGAACCAGTATCATGGTTTTTGCATGCTAGGCAAGACTCTTAGCAACTGAGCTATGTTTCTAACTCCAAAATTTAAGAAAATAAAGAGATTTCTTGGTGTTTTTCTTGTTATAGTTTCTAACGCAGAACATAAAATTTATTCCCTCCGCCCATTTATTTTTCTTTTGTTAATACATGGGGATCAAAGTCATGGCATTGCACATCCCAGGCAGCCATTCTACCAGCAAGCTACATATCTAGGCCCAAATTTACCCTTTGTAGAGATACTTTCTAGATTGTGTGTTTATTAAAACAGAATCTTGGGGACTGGAGAGATGAATCAATCAGTGGTTAAGTGCACTGGCTGCTCTTGCAGAGGACCTGGTTCAATTCCCAGCACCCATATGACAGCTAACAATTGCCTGTAACTCCAGTTCCAGGAGATCCAACACCCTTGTCTGACCTCCTCAGGCATTGCACAACACAGGTACACTTACACACATGCAGGCAATACACATATTTTTTTTTTTAAAAAAAAGACAAGATCTCACTATGTAGCCTTGACTGGCTTGGATGTCACTATGTAGACCAGGCTGACCTTGAACTCAAATTCACCTGCTTCTGCCTCTCGTGTATGGTGATTAAAAGGGCCCAACTCTTTATACTATGCTCATCATTTTAGCATCTTCTCAGCACTCAAAACAGTGACTCATAAGCAAGCACTCCTTTTTCTCTCAGTTCATTTTCTGTCTCCAAATATTTTCCTGTTCTGGACTTTTCATGTACTGGAACCATGCCATGTGTGAACTTTTGTGTGCCTAGCTTGATACATAAGGTTCATCTATGTTGTAGTTTGTATCATGACATCATTCCATTTTATTCCTAATACTGTTTGAATAATCATCTTTTTTGTTCATGAGTTGATGAACATTTAGGTTATTTCTACTTAGGCCTATTGTGAATAATGGTGTTGTGAATATTTAGGTACATGTTTGTACGTTTTCAGTTTTCTTGGGAGAAGAGTTAGAATTCTGGAGTCATATGAAAGGTTAAGCATCTAGGGGAATTACTAAACTGTCCTTCAAACACCTGACTCAGCAGAAGTGCATCCAAGTTCTGATCTGTATTTCCCCAGTGACTGATGCTAAATATGCTTTCATGTCCTGGTTTTACAATTTAAATAAGGTACTATCCATGTTAGGTGTCATTATCCTAGGTCTCAATGCTTATACATACATCCCTTAGCCATCCACCAGGTTGGATTTTTATTTATTGGCTTTTTGAGACAGGGTTTCCCTGTACCCCAACTGGACTGAAACTCACCCTGTTGACCAGGCTGGCCTTGATCTTACAGAGATTCAACTGTCTCCATCTCCAGAGTGCTGGGATCTAGTGTGTGCCACCATGCCCAGCTTTTTATTTACGTATGCATGTGTCTGTGTGTGGATTTGTGCATGTCAGTGCAGTGCCAGCAGAGGCCAGGTCACCTGGAGGTGGAGTTACATGTGGATATGAGCTGCATGATGTGGGTGCTGGAAACTAAACTTGTTTCCTCCACAAGAGCCCCACCACTCCAAACCACCAAACCATCTCTAGCCCCTAGAGGCAAGTAGGTAAGGCAAGTCCCTCAAGGAAGTCTTTTAACTTTTTGTCCTAAGAAATCCTGCCTCAGTCTTCAGTTAGCTGGTATTATTACAGGGCATAAGCTACTGTGCCCGGCTTTCTCCAACTTGAGGTAAGATCTCACCATAGCCCTGGCTGGCCTAGAACTTTCTGTAATCTAGGCTGGCTTCAAGTTTGCAACAGTTCTGCCTCCCAAATGCTAGAATTAGAATTAAAATTGTGTAACCGTATCCAGGTTTTTATTCCCCCTTCCTCATTTTATATAGTAACTTAAACAATTTCATTAGACAAGTCAGGAGAAATACCCAAGCCACACTAAAGTTTGGGAAGCTCAAACTTAGAATATCTGCCTTTCACTATGTTCTGCCAGTTGAGATTTTAGTTCAGCACACCAGATCCCATGAAACAAGTAGTGATAGTGATTATGTGGCACTGAGGTGGGTGCCACTTGTTTTGTTTTTTTTTTTTAATTTTGGTATCTCATATACATCTTAGTCATCTTTATACCCCCTTCCCCATTGGTACCTATAGCTCCCCCCACTAGATTTCATGCATTTGGTCATTTATGTGAAGGCCTATCAAGTCAAGTTAGTATCCTTTGACATTGTTCAGTCTGCTTGTGCTTGTGTGGGCCTTGTGCATGCTGTCACTGTTGCTAAAAGTTCATATGTGCAAGGTCCCAAGAGCCTGTAAGATTCTGTATCCATGTGGTCATGCACCTCTTCCATGGCTCTTAAAATCTTTCCACCCCCTACTCCACAATGGTTCCTGAGGCCTGGGTAGGTCAAGTTTAATATGAGAGTCCTGTCCAGTGACCAACATCTTGCACACTCTTATTCTCTATGCTTTGGCCATTTGTGGTCCTTTGTTCATTGTCCTCTATTGCATGGAGCATCACTGAAGAGAGTTAAAAGATGCATTAGTGTTCTCTCTACCCCATGGTGTAGAGGTTCCATTGTAGATTTGTGAAGTACATTCTTAAAAACGCTTAACATGGAGATTTTGGAAAAACTTTGGAACCCTTGGCATTCTGGTTAATACAAAAAAATTGCACCTGCTAATAGAAAACAGTAGTTCCTCAAAAAATAGAATTCCATCTTTTGTATTTATACCAATAATTTTTGAAACTAGGTCTTCCTGAGGTATTAGACTTAGGTTGAATGTGTCTATGCAGATGAAATGACCAACATGAGGCATATATTATACAGCGGACTTAGCCACATGGTTAAAATTTGAGAACTTTATGCTGAATTCTCAAAGCAAATATGACCTTTGGGCTGGAGAGATGGCTCAGCAGTTAAGAACACTGACTGTTCTTGAAGAAGACCCGGGTTCAAATCCCACCACCCACATGGCAGCTAACTACTATCTGTAACTCCAGTTCCAGGGGATCCAACAGTCTCCTGTCCTCCTCGTGCATTGCATGACACGGGTGCACTTACCTACATGCAGGCAATACACTCATACACATAAAATAAAATATTAAAAAAAAAAAAACATGACCTTTAATTTTGAGATGGTATCCTGGCTTGGCCTCTGGAACTCACTATGTAGACCACACTAGCAGTGAATTTAAAGCAGTCCTCTTGCCTCTGCTTCCTACATGCAGGTGTGTGGCTCAAAACTCCATTTATATGGAGCATGGGAATAGTCAATTTATGAAAACATCAAAGTAGAATAGTGGCTGCCAGGTGTAGAGGAGATACAAGTGTTTTTTAAATTTACTGTTTTATGTGTATTAGTGTGTTGCCTGCATATGTTTAAGTGCACCTGTGTTGTGTAATGCCCAGAGGTCAGAAGAGGGCGTTAAATCCCCTGGAACTGAAGTTACAGACGGTTGTTAGCCACCATGTGGGTGCTAGGAATCGAACCCATCCTCTGCAAGAGCAGCCAGTGCTCTTAACTGCTGACCCATCTCTCCAGCCTGAGATAGAACTAAGTTAACAGTTGTTTAATGGATATAGTTTCAGTTTTGAAGATTCTTAGGGTTGCTAAGCCTCAACACCCTGAACACCCTCCCACATGGAGGAAGAAAAGAACCAACTCCCCCACATGCCCTGTGGCATGCCCCACAATAAATAAATGTAACTAAAAAGATCATTTGAGAAAAATGATTAAAATAGAAATTGAGAAAAATGATTAAAATAGAAATTGTTATCTTATCATGTATATTTTTAGATTAATCATCTGAAACTTTTGTTTAGATGACTTAAATTTAGGAATATTCACAGATGCACTATCACACTATGGATCAGTAACAGAGAGAAGCTTTATAAACTTTTCTTCTCCGGAGATTTCTGCAGAATTTAACGGACAGTTTAGCACTAAAAAAGATAAGCAAGAACTAAGTGCGGACAAAGGAGCCAACTTAGAAAAAGAAAACAGCTGGTATAATGGCCAGTGTAATCAATTTGTAAGACCAGAAAAACAAACAAAACTCATGAAGAAATGTCCTAAAAAGCCTGCTTGGAATATAAATAAGCCTCTCAAAAGGTATGTTCCTGCATCAGAAAAGTACCCTAAACAGCTTCAGAAGCAGAGAGAAGAAAAAAAGGTGAGAAGGCAGATGGAACTGCTTCACTTGGTGGAGAGAAACCATCCTGAAAACCTCTCCCAGTGTAGAGGCACTTCACCAGAAGCTCTTGCTTCACCTCACCAAGAAACTGAGTCAGAGATTAGGTGGCATCCAGCCAAAAAGGTAAGGCTCTTTTATCTTGTGTACTGTTTCTAAACAGTTCCCTATATGCATGTTTTCAGAAGGCTCTGGTTCATCCAATCAAGTTATAGATCCTTATGTTAGGGGTCAGTGGAACACAGTTGTGCTCATTTTCTGAGTTGTCTGACATTGTTCTGTAAGAAAAATGTTTATGACTTTGGCCTTTAAGAGAAAAACATCTAGATGAGTTTTTATTCAAATACATACGAAAATGTGGCATGTATACAAAATGGAATACAAAATTCAGCTGTTAAAGACAAAATGAAATCAGACCTTCAAAGAATAGATGGCTTGGAAAGTATAGTATTAAGCAAGGTGACCCAAGTTCAAGAAAATAAAAACCACCTGCATGTCCTCCCTCGTATGCGAGTCCTACATGTATATAGGTAGTCAGTGTTAAGAGTGTAGGTTTAGTGCCGGGCGTGGTGGTGCATGCCTTTAGTCCCAGCACTTGGGAGGCAGAGGCAGGCAGATCTCTGTGAGTTCAAGGCCAGCCTGCTCCACACAGTGAGTTCCTGGCCAGCTGGGGCTACAGGGAAACTTTGTGTAGGTGTAGTATAAAATTTAGAAAGGTGGTGGGCATGGTGGTGCAAGCCTTTAATCCCAACACTTAGGAGGCAGGCAGATCTCATGTGAGTTCAAAACCAGCCTAGTCTGCATAGGGTGTTCCAGGCTAGCTGGGCTACAGGGAGACCCTGTCTCAAAAAGACACTACCCTCCAAAAAAAAAACTTTAGAAAGGAGACCAAGAAAGAGTATTAGGTGACGAGGAGGAATGAGATACAGGCAAAAAAACATGAGTCATAAAAAAGGATATAAGGGTTTTAGTTTTAAATGCTCAGTTTTCCTTTTTTGTGTGTGGTGGATAAATGAATAGCATAAAACTCTAAGCAAAGCTCTATTGCTCAGAATGGTATAAAACTTCATTGAGATGTATAGAGTTTGAGATTGGCCAATGTTTAGAGTGGCTTCCTTAAACTAACTGTTGTATGTTTTTATTTGTTCATTAGGATTAAGTGACCTTACCAACCACCCTTATAATATTGCCCGTGTTGTCCATAGACTATTTTATAGATCTCCTCAGATTATTTCAGCAAGTGACCACTAGATGTATCTGAGGGGCTGTCAAGATGGTAACGGTACCTGCCACCAAGCCTGACGACCTTTGTTTGATCCTCCAGGACCCATGTGGTAGGAGAGAACCAGTTCCTGTTAAGTGTCCTCTGACTGACCTCCACTCACATTGGGCATGCATGTGTACTGCCCGTGGAGGCCAGAAGAGGACACTAGATCTCCTGTAACTGGAGGTTAAGGACTGGTATTAGCCCCTGGAAAAGCAGTAATAGGGGCCATATGGAAATGCTATGTATTTCTTTTTACATTTATGTATATTTATCTTTTAGGTGGAAGAACCTCTGAAAGCACTTCCATTTAGTAAAGAAAGGTATGTGAATTACTTCCTTAGCTACCTGGCACATCTATGTAGGACAAGAGAAATAAGAAAAAACACTTACCACCTGAATGACATTAGGCACATGTGTGTATGAAGACAGTAATAGGAAAGGGGGTGTAGCTTCCAGTTATGGGGTAAAGGTTTAATAGGATGGCTTTTAAGTGGACTGGGTATAAGCAGGTTTGATTTTTCCAGGTGTACTAACCCTAAAGTAGGCATCTGACTTGGATAAAGGGGATATGGAAAAAGTATTGGTAAAGATGATTACAGTTAATTAGGTGGGAAGTTTAGAACTGTTAAAACTTTTTTATTCTATGCCTTTGTGCAAAAGCCAGCTGATTTAGAATGGTCTCAGAAAAGAGCTCTAGTAGCAAGTTTAGTTCAGATAGGATGTCTGCTAGGGAGAAGCATGAAGTTTTTAACCCATCCAACGCTGATTCTTAAGATCTAGCAATTTAGTTTTACTGGAATAGATACATCCTTAGCTTGTATTAGTAAAATTTATGAAAAGTATAGACCTTAGAATGCTTTTATTATATACTTAAAGGGGTTACAAGGTACATTTTGGACAAACTGAAATGTGATTGAAAGAGTAGATGTGTTTAAAATAATGCAATTTCTTACTGAAGCTTGTTATTGTGTGTTGTTTTGTTTTGAAATAGGTTTCAATCACCACCAATTCCGGCACTAAAAAACAGAACCCAACAAACTCAGACTAATTCATTACCCTTACCACTAAAAAGCAGTAACTACAACAGAGAGAATCCGATCTTAGGAAATGGTCAAACAGAACCATCAGATGAGATGTCTGAGCCATCCCATTTTATTCCTTATGTTCGGACAAATGAAATATATTACCTTGATCCAGATGCACCCTTGTCTAGGCCTTCAACCCAAGATAACCAATACCAAATTTCTCAGGGTAAGCCAAGTGTTTTTTACTGTGAAAACTGAAGATGAGGGGCTAGATTGATGGCTCAGTGGTTAAGAGCACATACAGCCCAGCACCCAGACCAGGTCATTCTCAATCACCTATAACTGTAGCACCAGGGGGATCTGATGCTTCTGGCCTCTGTGCGCCCCTCTACTAACATGCATATATATAACCCCCCCACACACACACACATTTTTAAAAATGAAACTGAAGGTGAGCCTGAGCACCCAATCCTAAATTTGCTCCAAAGAAGGTAGACTACCTTGGTGCTTTCCTAGGATTCAGGTGACTGAAACACTACAGCAAATTACCAGAAATGTACTTGACTATTGTAAATTTTATCTGGCCTTCAGATTGTGAACAAGAACTACCTGACTGTGACCGTATCAAAGATCCACTTCTTAACCCAAAATTGGTGAAAAACAGGGATCGACAGCAAGCAATCCTTAAGGGCCTTTCAGAACTGAGACAGGTATGAGCTTTTCACCAGGTGTGAAAGATACATAGATAACTGAACAGAAATAGAGACCTTACCTTGGATTTCTTTTTATATTACCATCTTTCACCTGTGACCTCAACATTTGGGAGGCAGGAAACACACCAAGTTTGGTCCATTGTAGGTAGCAAGAACCCTGCCCAAAGATCCCCGCCCCCCAAAAGTAACAGTAACAACAAAGCCAGTATGAAGTCATAAGACAGTTCTGACATTAGGACAAATTTATTGAAAATGTACATTTAAACACCAAAACACAAGGTGTTAAAAACAAATGAAACAATGTACAATTATGCTTTTTAACCAATATGGTCCATTCTTTTAGAAAAAAAAAATTGGTGGTTTAACTTTAACTCACTGGACTTTTCCTCCCAGATCAATTACTGTAACTTTGCATAACTGTATACTTCAGATTATTCTAATCAATTCTAGTTGATTCAAGGGAACAATTTACCAGCCCTTTCTTTCCCTTCCTAAAGCTACAAGAATCACTCCCTGCTCAGATCCATTGACTTGTGTCCTTTAAATGCTATCTCTGCTAGCTGACAGATAGCTTGAGCTATTCAACCTAAGTAACTCACACAAAGGGGCAAGAGAAAGGAATGTGATATGCATACCTAACCACCAGGTCCTTACATTCTGTTTCAACAGAACCAAGATGAACATGGGATATTAGGACTCCTTCACTCTGTCATATCACCATTTGGGGGGTGTGAGGGTGTTCACTACACCTGGCATCCTATCACCAGTTTTAAGGGCACTTAGGAGCAGAAATTTCATTTTAGCCCCATAGTTGCAGTAAATTTCAAAGTCATCCCTGTTGGTTTTGTGGAAAAAAATTATCTTAGAAAATGTACTAGAGATACGTGACACTCAAATTGGAGGTCTACTGTAAGAATTACTTAAAAAAAGATTACAATTGTCCTGAGCTTAATAATTTCCTCAGGTATAATTATGGATTTAAGAGGAATTATAAAGTAGGCTATATACCTTTACTAAAATATCAATGTGATTTCAGGGTCTTCTGCAGAAGCAAAAGGAATTGGAAACTAATCTCTTACCCTTAACTGCAAACCAAGAAGAGAATTTTAGTTCTAAGTTTTAAATATGCCCATCACTCAACTGCATCTTTCAAGCAGCCTAGCTTTTGCAAGCACCCACTGAAAAGCTGTACAATTATGTAGTAAAATGCTGTATTTTTAAATACAATAAAACACTTTTTTAGAAGTTTGTAGTAACTTTTTCTCCTCTGTCATATTACTTACCATAATAGAGTCTGCTGGTTCCTGACCTGTTAATAGTATTCTTCCATACTTACTATATGCAGTTCTTTTGTTCTGTAAAAAGTTCTTTTAAGGTGTGAGAACTATTAACACATCTAGAATGACTTTTCCTGAAATAACCCAAATGTGGTTTAGAGTTCTATTTTCATAGTGTTTACTGGCGACACTACGGGTTTCAAAATATTAAAAAGTTAGCATTAGTAATAGCAGAAAGAGATGTAGATTATGTAAGAATCTCCACCATATACCAGGTGTCTCCACCATATAGCTTAATGTATAGATTTATTCCAGCATTGAGACCACCTCCAAAATATGCCCCCATTTCTAGATTATAACAATTTAAAAACTGTTCCAAATTATCCGATGCCCTTGATAGCCAAATAAAAATTTTTAATAGGGCTTTTTAATGAAAGGATCACATAAAATAGTTATCAAGTACCTCAAAAAGCTGACCAATATTTAAGTGAGGCAAATTTATATACAGCTAAATCTAAAGATTAACAAATGCTACTTGGTATTAAGTCTTATGTTTATTACCCAAATGTAACTGTTAGGTACATCTTGAGGTACTGAGCCAGTGACATCGCTGGCTTATACCTATGTAAAAACACTATACAAAGCTTTATACAAAAGCTTTAATCAAAATAAATAGTTGACATTTCATTTCAGCAAAAGTAGTTATCATTTGACATTAAAGAAAGTCATTTCTATTTACCATCCTTCTATAAACATCTAATTTTACATATAAAACAGACTTCAATTTGAAGCCAGTACAGATAACAGATGTAAAACTTAAAGGTACCAACATAATTCAAGTACAATATATGTTAAAAATATATCTTTATTTCAATTTCCAGATGCTTCAAATGTTACAGGCCATCATGATTTAAATAGGGGGGGGCATTTCAGAAAGGGTAAGAAACTTGTTTAGAGAATGAAATATAAATTGTCAGTGTCAATTCACTTTTAAGAAACTGAAAAAGTCCACAACCTTTTTTTTTTTTTTTCAAAGTTACTATAATTCTCTTTTGAACACATCCTTAACTTAATGGAGATTTCTCTGAATCAAAACTTTTATAAGCGGATAAAAAGTAATTTTCATTTTCTTGAGACTGAGTTGATGAAAGGACATATGGTGTTTCCAAAAATGTCTGATGAGTGAGAACATTAAAATGACTAAACTGATGGGACATATTTAATTGATTTTGATAAACCTGACAGTTGCTATATGAATCTTGTTCTGCTGAATTGCTGTTCTCTCCTTCAGAGCATTCTCTACCAATAGGAGCTCTCTCTTCACAATCAATTTGGTAAGTCTTATCTTCTAAACTGTTTTGCATGTCAAGAGACGACTGCAATTCAGTTTGGATATTCTTTTTTTGATCTGTTCCACTTGATCCTTTGGTCTCTCTTGCCAATATTTCTGAATGACAATTGCTGAATACTTCTATATGTGAGATTTCATCCCCTGAATCCAGAGACATATCCTCTTCATCCTTTTCATCGTTTTCTAAAAGAGCTACATTTAAAAAACAAAAAGCCCTCCTCTATTGAAATACACAATTTAACTTTTAAAATTATACACTACTCACACAATATAACGCGTCAGGATCTGCAAAGTCCACAATCCCTTAAAGCTTGGTCTTCTGCCACAAGTTCACTTAGTCACAACACTCACACTAGATGTGAATGTCCAGATAATCCGATGCTAAAAGCTTCTGCGAAATGTGTTCACGTTTAATGTTGGGAAATCCCAACTCCCAGCTCCAAAGGGGTTAATGTCAAAACAGCATCTAAAGTTATACGGTAATTCAGTATTTCATAAGACACATATAGAATAAAACTTCTGACATGTAGCTTCACTGGATTACTAAACTGGTTAGGTCTATCAGTCATCTCTGCTTTTCACCAAAAATAAGAACAGCTTTTATTTTAATTCTGGAACCAAAGCAGAGGCCATCTCACAAAAGACTGGCAGTATGGCACCCTCACTATCTTGTAATTCAACCAGTTCATACATCTGAAGAGCTTTAGTAGCCCAATGATCCCTGCATCTGGCTTCCTTTTTTTTTTTTTTTTTTTTTTTTTCCTGAGACAGGGTCTCCCTGTAGCTCTGGCTGGCCTGGAACTCGCTATGTAGACCAGGTTAGCCTTCAATTCACAAAGATCCGCCTGCCTTTGCCTCCCAAGTGCTAGGATTAAAGGCATTCGCCACCATGCCCGGCTATCTTTGGTTTTTCTTTTAAAGCTTTTATACCCTCATAAAGCAAAATGCATCCTCCAAGTGTGTGCAAACCACAGAATAGACAAATGCATAGACTGTAGTAACTAACTTGTATTGACTACAGTATACTGAAAATTGAGTAGACCTTATACAAGCTAAGTCCTAGAATGATGTCTACTGCTTACACCGAGGTAAATGGTTTCAAAATAAACATTTCACTATTGGATAAACAAAACCATTCTCCCCATTCTGTCTGGCTTAAAGAAAACAAAAACCACTAGAAAGTTACCTGACTGTGACTCAAGATTCTCATTAGCACCAAGCAGCGGAAGGTTGTCTTCTGTGACTGAGTTGTGATAGCCCACAAGGTTTTTAAAGTTTTGCATAAAATCTTCAGCAGATGCAACTACAATTCCGTTATCTGTATAGTTCGAAAGCATCTTGATATTTTTCTCTAAACAACAACAAAGAAAAAAACCCACAAAATACACATGGACCAAATGATGCCTGTTTTCAACAAAATCCTTTCAGCCATATATTCAGAATCCTATTTAACACCCACTCCAGACCTTTGAAATTCTTTCATACACATTACTGTATCTACAAGAGTATGCTCTTACCTGTTAAAAAGACTACATGTCGTTGCTGTATGTTCTGGGCCTGAAGCCTAATAAGGCACTCCAATTCTGGAGCATTTCGAGTTTGTGAATCACAGTTGTGGTAAGACAAAATGTCAACCAGATGTTTCTTTTGATAGACATTCAGAAGAGTCAGCAAACTTAGAGCTTTAGTGTTCAATCTATGAGATTAAACAGAATTAAGTATCTGGATGTGCACCTTTAAATTTAGCAAGGAAATTTCCACTTCAGTTATTTAAAAACCTAATTTCTAGACTGATCAAACTAGTTGACAAGTACTGGTGCTTAGCTCACTGTTTCATGCCGCTTCAGACAGAGGAATTCTGAGTTCCCCAAGTAAGCAAGTTTTGGAGGAGGAGGGTCTTGTATTAGGATAAAATCTGAACCAATCTCATCCCATTTACTAGGTAAGTTACTTTTAGTTTTATTAACTTTAATGAAGAACATAAAAACAACAAAAAAGCTGGACACAATAGCATATGCTTGTGATCTCAGCACTTGGGAAGGTGGAGGTTCTCATATGACTAGTACTCCAAGGAAGTAACTTCCAGACATATTAGAAATCTCACAAACACATATATAAATGTTCTAATTAAACTCAGGCTGAGGGATAGAGAAATGGCTCAGTTGTTAAGAGCACTGGCTGCTCTTGCAGAGAACCCAGGTTCTATTCCCAGCACCCACATGGTGGCTAACAACCGTACATAACTCCAGTTCCAGGGGAATCCAGTGCCCTCTTCTGACCTCCACAGGCATTGTACGATATGGGTGCACCTACCTATGTGCAGGCAGTACACTCATACACATAAAATAAAAATATTTTTTAAAAAGGGGGTGGGGGGAGGCCTTTAAATGAGACATCTGTATTATGCTCCTCCCCTCAAGGCTCAGAGAACTCTGCAGAAGAGGGGGGCAAAAAGATTCTAAGAGCGAGATGTTGGGGAGGACTACTAAACACAGCAGCTGTGTTTGCCTGCTTGGCAGAAGATCAAGCCAGTCAAAATTCTAGCACGGGTGGGGAAGGGGTTCAACAAGACCCCACCCCTAGGTAAGGAGCTATTATTGTCATTTGACATCTACTTGGGGAGGGGGAAGTCTGTTTTCTAGAGGTATGGTAGGTTGCTTATGCTCCAAGGGATGGGCCTACATGAGAGTACATGGGCAGAACTAATTGGATTCAGTGGGTTATGAAGGAGAAAAAGAGGACATGAAGTTGGGAGGGAGATATGGTATAGGGAAAGGTCTAAGAGGTGTATGTGGGGTGGATATGATCAAAATACACTGTAGACTTGTGAGCTTCTATCCCCAACATCCCACTGCCTGCTCAGGTTACACAGCTCTATGCACTACCACACACAACTACCAGTTCTTTCACAGCTATTGGCTTCCCCAACACCAGCCTACTCTGTCTTACCCTTCCAGCACCCAGGCTACACAAGTCCTGCAGCTTCCTCTAGCTAGATTAGCAGCTAGACCTAGCTAGGATTGTGCAGCTTTCTGTACTGGCCCACCTTGTTCAGTTCATATCGCCTGCCCTTGCAACCATCTATCTATATATTCCCAGATATAGCTGATGTGTAGTCAGTATATCGCCCTGGAAGGACCCACAAAACTGGAATCCACCCCAACTCCCTCACATCAAAAATCAACACAGACCTGTCCGCCAACCTGCTCACGTACCAGCCATCCAGCTACTCCAAGACCACACGGAGTCTGTCCTGGAACCTCAGATTCAAAAGTTATACCTACATCTAACTGAATTGAGACCACTTCTTATACCCCATTTGTATATTACCATAAAGTGGCCACAAGACTGAACATGAACACCAAGCACCACTAAGCTGAGCCATAACCTGACAAGTTGGGAGAACAGTAAACAAAGATACAAACATTCTCTCAACAAAGATGAGATTGCCTACCCCACACCAAGAACGCCTGCCACTGATAAGTTCAGGGATCTAGATCTCATAAAAAAGACTGAAGACTGTAAAAATAGTTGAATGAAATAACTAAAACAATTCAAGACATGAAAATAAAGCAACAGAATCCCTGAAGAAAAGCCAAACTAAAATGAAGCTTGAAATTAAAAACTCAAACTCGCCGGGTATGGTGGCACACGCCTGTAGTCCCAGCACTTGGGAGGCAGAGGCAGGTGGATCTCTGTGAGTTCAAGGCCAGTCTGGTCTACATAGTGAGTTCCAGGGCACCTGGGGCTACAGGGAGACCCTGTCTCAAAAAGACAAAAAACATAAAACAAAAAAATTCAAACTCAAAAACCTGAGAGGAAATAAATCATACTGGGATTGGATGAAATGGAACAGAGTATCAGATCTCGAAGACAACGATGAGGAAATGGTTCACTCAACCAAAGAAAATGTCAAATCTAAAAGAACCTGAGAATAGAATATGCAAAACCTGATGGGACACTATGAGAAGACCTTTAGAAGAAACCCAGGCACAAAGTGTTTTTAACAAACTCATAGAAAACTTCCAACTATAAGGAACGATAACTACCAAGGGGCATATAGAACACCAAGTAGACAGAATGAAAGAGTCCCCATGTAATATAGTAGTCAAAAAACTCAATGTACAGAACGAAGAAAATAAACTGAAAGCTGCAAAGAAGATAAAGTCATATATAAAGACAGGCCCATTAAAATAACAGATGACGTTTCAATGGACACAAAGCAAGAAGGGCTTAGACCCATGTCCTACAACTCATAAAAGAACAAAGATTCAAGGCCATACTACTATACTCAGTAAAACTACCAGTTAAGAAAGAAAAATTTCTTATGATTAAAAACAGATTTAAGGAATTTATGTCCACGAAGACAGCCCTGTGGACAACACTCAATGGAATATTTCGGCATGAAATAAACACTCTCAATTCCAGAAGTTAACCCAATGAGGCCTAAGAAAACAACACTACAACACCAACATTAACAGGATTTTATAAACATTGGTTATGAGGTGTACACCTTTAAACTTAACACTCAGGAAGGACAGGCAGGTGGATGTTGAAGTCCAGCATGATCTACGTGGTGAGACCCTTCCTCCAAAAATAAACAAACAAAATAGTAATAAACTCAGTATTAATAGTCTTACTTCCCCAATAAAAAGACACAGACTGACTGGATTCAAAAACAGGATACATCTGTTGCCTCCAAGAAATACCTCACCATCAATGAATGACTGACACCACACCTTAGGGTTAAAGTATGTAAAACAGTAATGGAAAGAGAAGTAGGAAAATGGGACTAGGAACAAGCAGGTGTAGCTATTTACATATTAATCTGACAAAGTAGACTTGTGAATATTAGAAGAGATAGAAGTCACTTCATATGCATTAAAAACACACCAGGAGGATATCAGAATCCTAACTATATATGGACCAAACACAGAGGCAACCAATTTCAGGAAAGAAATACTACTAGATTAAAAAAAAAACATGCATTGACTCCAACACAGTGATAGTGGGTGACTTCAATACCCTACTATAACCAACAGGTCATCCAGATGAAAACTAAATAGAGAAACCCTGGAGTTAAATGACATCACAAATCAAATGGCTCTAAAGACATTTACAAACTATTTCATCCAAACACCAAAAAATACACTTTCTTCCCAGCAGCCTGTGAAACTTTTTCCAAAACTGATTGCATATTAAGACATAAAGCAAGTATCCACAAACTTTGGAAAATGGAAATAGCATCCTGTATTCTATCTGACTAAAGGGATAAAGCTAGATACCAACAATGGAAATGGGGAAAAGTACAAAGTTATGAAAACCAAATAACATACTACTGAATGAAATTTAGGTCAAGAGAGACATCAAAAGGGAAATTTTAAAACTCCTAGAACTGAATGAAAATGAAAACACAACATATCAAAATCTATGGGCACAACGAAGGCAGTCCTAAGAGGAACATTTACAGCATTAAGGACATACATCAAAAATTGCAGATCTTATATTAATAACGTCTTAATATCACACCTGGAGGCCTTGGCAAATCAAGAACAAAACACCTAAAGAGTAGATGGGAAGAGAGAAGTAAAATAAAGGCTGAAATTAATGAAATAGAAACGAAGAGAGCAATACAGCGAATCAACGAAACAATTCTTTGAAAAGATGAACAAGATTGACAAACTTTTGGTTAACCAAAAGGAAGAAAGGACAAAAATTAACTCAGAGATAAAAAGGGAAACAACAAACCATGAGAAAACTTGGAAAACCGTAAGGACATACTTTAAAAATCTATATTCCACCCAACTGGAATATGTGAAACCACCGGATAATTTCTAGATATGTACAGCCTACCTAAGCTAAATAAAAAATGACAACCAACAAGATCAATGCAGTAATCAAAAATCTCCCCAACTCAAGAGAGTCCAGGAGCAGATGGATTCAGCACAGAATGCTACCAAACATTTAAAGACTAATACCAATACTCCTCAAATTATTCCATAAAACAGAAAAAGAACACTCCTAAATTCTTTCTATAAAACCAAAGACCCAACCAAAAAAAAAAGAAGAGAGAAAGAGAGAGAGAGAAAATTATAGGCCAATCACTGATTCCCAACAAGATACTCTCAAACAAAATGCCAAGAAAACAGCAAAAATATCCACCATTATCAGGTTAGCTTCATCCCAGAGATGCAGGCAAGGTTTAACTTACGTAAATCAGCGAATATAATCTACCACATAAACAGACTCAAGGACAGAAACTACATGATCATCTATCTCATTCTATGGCAGAAAAGGTCTTTGAAATATCCAACACCCAAATCATTATAAAAGTCATGGAGAATCTAGGGATACAGGGGACATACCTCAACAAAATAAAGGCAGTATACAACAAGCCCACAGCCAACAACATACTAAATGGAGAAAAAAAAAAGCATCTTCACAAAAGCCTAAGAAATATTTTTTTAAATATTCAATTTTAGCCATCAGAAAAAGGCAAATTAAACTTCTTTGAGATTTCATCACACCACAGAACAATTAACAAATGCTGGTGAGGATGTGGGGGGAAAGGGGAACACTTATTTAATGCTAGTGGGAATGCAGACTGGTACAGGCAACAGTTTGGTGGTTCCTCAAAAAGCTAAAAATAGATTCCCACACAATCCAGCCATACCACTCTTGGGCATATACTCAAAGGACTCTGTGTTTTCTTACAGAGATACTTGTTCATCCATCTTCCTTGCCACCCTATCCACAATAGCTAGGAGATGGAAACAACCTAAATGTCCACCAACTGATGAATAATGAAAGTATGGTACATTTACCATAATGGAGTATTATTCAGCTGTTAAGAAAAACTAAATCATGCCAGGCGTGGTGGCGCACACCTTTAATCCCAGCACTCGGGAGGCAGAGGCAGGTGGATCTTTGTGAGTTCGAGGCCAGCCTGGTCTACATAGTGAGTTCCAGGAGAGCTGGGGCTACAGGGAGACCACAGGTAAACAATCACTGGAAGCAATCATCCTAAGTGAGGCAACCCAGACCCAAAAGACAGAACCCACTTCTCTCTCATAAACAGATGCTAGCTTTGAATCTTTAGATAAGTGTGTTTCAGTAGGAAAATCCTATGAGATCAGGAAACTAATTAAGGGGCCATGAGAGTAGTTCATGGGAGGGGAGACAGAATGTAGTGATATAAATGGGAAAGGGGAATAATGAATAGGACAGGACAGGTTAAATGTGGTGAGGAATGGAGAGGTAGGACAGAAGAGGGAGTAAAAGGAGGGATAATCAATACTGAAGGCCTTTCAAAAGAGTCATATATGTTTCTTTCAATATATACACATACAACATGAAAAAGAGTTTAAATGTAGTTATTCTTTAACAGGGGCTCAATGGCCCCAATAGACCAAAGGTTAGCAAACGAAAAGCCCAATGTCAAGAAAGGACTAGTTCTTTTGCAGTTGTTCACCAGGGAGAACCCAGAGATCTTCATAAAATACTGACTACTGCCACTGTATTTGGTTACCTACCAGAACTGGACATTAAGACCCTACTGCTGAAGATACTACATACCTGAGTCGAGGTGGGGGGGGGGTGACTATGATCAAAATACACTTATGAAATAATCAGTAAGAAAAAATTTTAAATGGAATAATTCAGTACCTACACTTATGACTATTGATATCTGTGAAAATAGTCCATAATCCATAAACACAGGAAAAGTAAAATGCAATTTTGTGAGCAAAATGTTAAAAACCAACAACTATACAATAATTTTCCAAATCTTACCTGCCCAGTTCCTTTAGTTTCTTCTGAAATTTACAGTGGATTTTCCACTGCCATTTTCCTTCTGGAGTACTAAGTTCTTCAAGGAATGTCAAAAAAATTTTAAGGCTCTCTGTTAGAGACAATGAAATTCATTTTTAATTCAATATTAAACAGTCTACACCATACCTGAATTATGGAAGTGCTTATTCATATTATAAAGATACACCTATTTTTCCTGTGGATTGCATTATCATTTCTCTTCTTCTAAGGAAAAGAGAACTCTTTATAATCCCCAAACTCTAACATCTACAAATAAAACAAAACACCCAATGGCACCATCACCACCACCACCGCCACCACCAGAGGAATCCAAGTGCCACAGCAGGTAGTTTCTATCAGATTTACGAAGAAAAAAAAAAGTAAAGAGTGGAGAAGAAATCTGAAGTTGTGAAAGCTCAAGAAAGAAATGTACCAGTTACCTGTGAATAACACAATAAATAGACAACACATTTATGACTCCCTAGTTTTAATTTTCTCTAAAAAAGGGGGTAATCCAACCAAACCAGAAGTTACATGCTGAATAGAATGCATTATGACTTACCAATTGTAACAACCTCTGGATTTAGAATGGATTCATCAGACACAATAAAGCCACCAGATACAAATAATTCATTGTATGTATGATTTTTAACATCATCCAGGCTATCAACACCAGCAAAACTAACACATGGAAGCTTCTTTAAAGTCACCAAGCCAGGTACCTGTTAAATATCAAACAAAAACAGAAATAGTATAGTTCAAGAAATGACCCAATATATTCAAGTGTGGAATAGCCAAGAATAAAGTCTAACAAAATACAGTACTATTATTCACTGGGCTTCTGGAAAAGCCTCAAACTTAACATTCTAAGTATTACTTCCCAATCGTATAAATCAACACTTAGGTACTAAGAATCCCCCAGGAACAGAGCACAAAGAGAAGGAACTTTACAATAGACCTAAAAGCACAAAGTGGAAAAAAGGCTAATGTATCTATAACCTGTGAGTAGTCAGAATTCAAAAAGAGGAGCCAGGTATGGTAGCACACACCTGTAATCCCCACCACTTGAGATATGGAGAAAGGAAGACCAGGAGCTTAAGGCCAATCTTGGCTACACAGTTAAAAGCCAGCCTAGGCTACACAAGATACTGTCTTAAAAAGGAGGGTATGAGGGAAATAAAATCTTCAGTGTCAGGGAGGTCATAAAGGCCAAGACTTGAGGTAGGTTCATAAGATCAGGACAGCAAGTCTCCAAATGGTAAATGGAGATTCACGTGGCAAAAAAAGGGTTTATCTGGACATTCAAATACAGATAATAATATGAAGAGTTAACTGGTCCCCTTTCACCCCCACATCCAATAATTTAGCACATTACTTTAAAAAATTTTTTATTATTTTTACTTTATAAGTGTGCACCTATGAGTTAAGTGCACCCATGTTGTGCAGTGCCTGCTGAGGTCAGAAGAAGGCATTGGATTCCCTGGAACTGGAGTTATAGACAGTTGTTAGGTGCCATGTGGTTCCTGGGAACCAAACACCTCTATGAGCAGCCAGAGCTCTTAACCTGCTGATCCATCTTTCCACTCCCACATTTACTACTCTTAACTAAAACTTAAATGACAAGGCAGAACTATAATGTAGAGCAACTTTATTAGTTTTGCAGAGATACAAAAAGATACAAGCAGGCTCATGGACAGGTACTTAAGGTTTATCTTACTTAAACATTATTTTTAAAACAAAAGCTTTGTTCTCAGAACATTTAAAAACAAGTTTGTTTAAAAAAAAAAAAAAACTAGTGAATTGGACTTTGTAGTCTACCTTATGAATGAAACCTGCAATGTCTTCATTTTGAATAATAATCAATAGCTTATCTAAGTTTGATCTTCTTTCCAAAAAGTGATCTGGATGACATTCTGTATTGCCTAATTTGATAAGATATTCCTGTTAAAGAAAAACTAAGTCAACATTAACAAGCTTTTTTACAAAGATAAATTTAATGCTATAAATTCAACATAAACTGGTAAGCTTTACTTAGAGCACGTAACTGTGACCTTTCACTCTGAAAGACCTCACAGCTCATCATATCCACTCTTATACAAGTGATATCAAAAGGACAGAATTTCACAAGACATTTTCACAACATTAGAATACAGTTAAAGCTAAGTTAACTGTCAGAACAATGGATTATTACAGATTCTGGACTACCTGTTAGTAGGAAATCTATAACCCAATCATTAACTACTCCCCTGCACCCCCCAAATCCTTTATCACACAGGCTCTTAAGTTACTTGCGAAGGATTAACAGAATACTTCCCTTCAGAGCACATGTATGACCACTGAAGCTCATTTTAATCCAAACGGCTAAGAAAGCATTGATGTAACACTTTAGTATGTGCAATGTAATTAGTCATTTTTACAACTACAAGCCCAGCAGCCTCTCCCATTTAACACCTCCCTTCATGCTGGTGACATGGTAATACCTTTCACAGGACACAGAGAATAAGGGCTCCCAGAGTTCCCTTGAACTTTGCTTGCTGGTAGAATCCTGAGCCCAGAGCAAATTGCATGATCCTGGAGGTAACATTCCTCATTCCAGAGACATAGCAGATTAATTTTGTCAGCAGAGCTGGTCAGATAGCCATAATCAAAGCCCAGCTTGCTTGATAATTGGTCTGATGCTCTTTCAAGAACTGCCAAAAGTGTCACACCCAAAGAAGACATTTTTGTATAATTCCTAAACTAAAGCAGCATTTTCTACATTGATTTTGCTCTAAACTCTGAAGCTTCTAGGGAAATCTCAGATTACCTTAGTTTGTTAATGAAATATAAAAATAAATTTGACAAGCCTATTGGTGATTATGGTCTTTTTAAAAAACTTTCAAGAAACTTCAAAATTCAAGTTTTTTGGATAAGGCTGCTTAACAAATAGAATAACCAACCAAAGCTTGATCACAGAAGTATTTAGGTAAGTTTAAACTGTTATTCAGAGTCTTACAAGACTTATTCTACAAGATTTGTATGACAGTCTGTTTATCTACACAAATAATGAAATAGTTTTTATGCTACAATGAATTCAGAGCACCATTTCCAATGCCTTCAGCCTAAATGTCACATGGGTGTCTAACAATCCTTTTCTTTTTTTTGGGGGGGGGGGGTCTTTTTGAAGCAGGGTCTCCCTGTAGCCCCAGCTGTCCTGGAATTATGTAGACCAGACTGGCCTTGAACTCAAAGAGATCTGCCCACCTCTGCCTCCCAAGTGCTGGGACTACAGGCGTGTGCCACCACGCGTTTTTAAAAGAAGGGAAGAGGTATACTGAACAAATTATTATTTCTCTTGCCCAGCCCTATACCAACATATAGAGTTCTGTGTTAGAAACATGTTTCTAGGATGTGAGAAAAAGTTGAGAAGCTCTATGTTCAATCACACACAACAAAGTACAACCAAAAGTCTGTTTTCATTCTCCCAAGAAAACATAAGGGTTCATAAGGAAAGCAAAAACTGAGTGCTCTGAATTCTTTTTTCATTTAAATGTTCGTCCTGTCTTCTTTGGACCACACAAACCTGCTAATGTGAGATATCATATACAGACAAAAGGTTTAAGCACTTAAGTACCTAGTTTCTGGATCATTGTGTGCTCTAAGTTTATAGTCCCTCTGCTTCCTCTTAACATAACAAGCAGAAACTCCATAGTTAATAAATTCCATAAATGAGAACAAGCACTTATTTCAAAACACAAAAATCAAATACCTGACAGTTTTATTTTTCTATTTGATTGATAAAACTCTACATGAGATAAAACACCAAAAACAGTACTTCTATTACTCCTTTGCATTCATTAAAAAAACCAAAGAAGCCATATTTAAAATCTTTGAATCAAGGTTCAACAAGATGGCTCAGTAGGTAAAGTACAGCCAAGCCTGATTACTTGAATTTCATCCCTAGGACCCACATTGTGGAAGGACAGAATGGTCTCCAACAAGTTGTTCTATGACCTCCACATGCACACAATGGCAAACACCACCTCTACCCCCAATAAAACTAAAAAACTTTAAAAGTTAAAAATTTCAGAATCAAAAGTTTAAGAAATCTGCAGTATGATCAGTGGCTTCCTCCCCAACCCCCATGATGCTGGAGGTCAAACCCAGGGCTTAGTACATGCTAGGCAAGTGTTCTACTACTGAGCTACACAGAGGCCCTTACAATTATGTACACAAGTACTCTTTAAAACTCCACCAAAAAAAATTCTAACGTTCATGATACTTAGAACATAGGTTCAATGTTCAGTTCAATTTACTCATCTTTCATTCAATCATAAATTACTAAATTCAGAAAACATATGGCCAACTTTAACATTCAATTTTAGAATTCAGATCATCAAGACAAGTTTATATAGCACTACTATTACCTTCTAATGTAGTTACCTTTATTTCTTTACAAAGCACACTCTCCTCTTCTTCATGAATGTAAAATTTCACAGTATTTTTCTGGACATCTTTCATGATTTTAACCAAACTATTAAATACTTCAGGTTCTAATTGGCTGATAAAATTTGAAAGAGCTGGTTGTGCAGAAATGTTTACATCACCAGGTGATTTTATTTCTTTTTCTATTGGTTCCATGGCACTATTCCCTGGTACAGTGTGATCAGAAGTCATCATTAACTCTGTGCCGTGGTGTGGCTGGTTCATTTCTACTTCAGTTGAAGACGAATGCTGTTCATTAGAGGTGGTACAAAATGGCTCAAAAAGATCTTTACTGTTGAAGTCACTTGAGGAAGTTGATAGGACATGCCTTTCCAAAGGATTCAATGCTGTCTTATTATCAGACTCATTAAAGCTGACTGGTGGCAAATTCCCACCCTTGGCTGATGCTTTAATAATAATAGTATTTAGTTTCTCATGCAAACCATCTACAAATTCCTGTACACCAGCTTTGGAAGTCTTAGTATATATGAACTCAGAAAGACGCTTCATCTTCTCTTGTGTTGAAAAGACAGGTGTGGAAATTGTACTAATGTATGAAACATTCTTTTGCTTCAAAATCTCTTCTATCTTCCTAGAAAAGAGATGGAACTCTCCTAACACTGTATTCTCTGTAGTTTCGCTCACTATAGGCGGCTCTGCTGCCGGCACACACTGTTCCTCCACGGTCACCACCTGACCTGTCAACAGGTCCTCTTCAGTGGTGCCCTTTACTGTGTCTGTAAATGGAGAGGATGGAAACTGGAAATCAGAACTTCTTTCTCTACTTATTACCCGGGGATCATTAGGAAAGGCCTCCTGTGGTGGCGGACATGCCAGGTGTTCTTCTGGTGATTTCATACCTATATAGAAAGAGTTTATTATTATAAGAGCAATCCAAATGGTTAATATTTGAAAAAACAAACTCTGCAATTTAAAAAAGTCAGCTCATGTATATATTTAGAATTGTGTATCACAAAGTAAAACAAAAACTTTAAATGCAGGTGGGAACCCTATTTCCTACCTGGCTACCAATGAGCTAAGCTTTGGATTTCAGTAGACAAAGAGCTGCAACTTTGAACATTATTTTTCTTTGTTTTCTTTCCACAAGTGTTCCAAAATGCCTCTTTGACATCAATACACAGTAAGTTACTACCCACTTTTTGCTCACTTATAATTCTGCAGATCCGATGGTAATAAACTATTTTAATCCTATATCGCATGTCAAGTAATAGTAATCCACATTAGTCTCAGAATGGAGTATAAGGTAACTGAAAGCATACCAAACAATAATGTAGGAATACCTGCTAAGTATTTAAGAACATTCATTATGTTTTCAGTCTGGCTCTCAGATTTAGGTTGGTTATGGATTTCCTACAATGTCATAGATTTCCATTCCATCAGGAAAGAAAAGCTCAATAAAAACAAGAACCTAATGTATTTCATAGCTACAACAGTACCTTTGATGATGCTTTCGTAAGTATTATTTCATCTGTAAATAATTCAGAGAAATCAGGGTAGCTACTCTCCATTTTGGATTAAGAGATCTTTCAGTAATCCAATGCTAATGGAATTATACAATCTTTGATGACTCATGGTTAACTAGGTCAGTCCATAAGAGGTGGTAGCACATGCCTTTAATCCCAGCACTCTGGAGGCAGAGGCAGGCTGACCTCTGGGAGTTCAAGGCCAACCTCGTCTACACAGTGAGTTGCAGGACAGCTGGAGCTACAGGGAGGCCCTGTCTCAAAAAGAACGCCCCCCACAAAAAAAAATTTGTTTTCCCACAAATCTTAAATTTAAACATGGTAAGTTTTTACAACTTCTTTTTTCAAAACAGGCACCCTAAATTTGTTTTTAAATACAAGAGAAAAACATATCTGATTTAATTTTCAGTAATATATTTTAGAAAAATAAAAGTCAAGATCTCTGTCTAAAAACCGTATCACATAGTTAAAAAGCAATAATTTTCCTTAAGTCTTAGCCAACACATTCCCTAACAAATCACTGCTGTATTATGGGAAATGATGCCTTTTGAAATTCAAAAGTCCAGCTACAAGTTTTCAAGCCTATAGAACTTTAAAGATGTAGTTTATGCTCAGGTGTAGTAGCACACCCATTTATTAAAAAAAAAAATCAGTTTTTGTTTTCCCTACACTCACTTATCTCAATGTTTAACCAGCTACACTTAGCAATTAGCTTAAGACATTCTCTACCAAACCTAGATTTTCCCTTTGATGACCACTGCATTCAACTACTACAAAGACACAGGGTTAGATTACAACAGGCCCACAAGTCAAAGTAAGAAAGGGAGGCAAAACATCCAATTTGCCAAGAATTAAAACTGTATGAAACATAAATAATAAAGTCCAATTTCTGTAGGACTCAATACTGATTAATGTTTTATTCTTAAATGTACAACATTAAAACATAGTTTAAAATACATGTAAAATGTGGGGCTGGAAAGATGGCTCAGCAGTTAAGAGCATTTGGCTGTTCTTGCAGTAGACCCAAGTTTGGTTCCCAGCATCCACACAGCAGCTAACAACTGTCTGTAACTCAAGTTCCAGCGGAACCAGTGCCCTCTTCTGACCTCCTCAGACACTGCACAACAAAGGTGCACTCACATACATATAGGTGATACACATATACACATAAATATTTTTTAAAACTTGTTGAAGAGCATATAAGAATTGATAACATGGGGCTAGAGAGAGTGCAGTGGTTAAGAACACTGACTTTTCTTGCTGAAGACCTGGGTTTGAATCCCAGCACCCACATGGCAGCTAACAACTGTCTGTAACTCCAGTTCCAGGGGATCCGACAGTCTCTTCTGTCCTCTGCGGGCACTGCATGACACATGTGCACTTACCTATATGCAGGCAATACACGCATACACATAAAATAAAAATAAAAATTTATAACAATGGCTGATTTTTTGAAGGGAATCTAAACACTACACTTTGTTTTTATTCCCCTATTCCCTTTTGGTTTTCTTCTTTGTTTGAGACAAGGTCTCACTCTGTACAAAGCCTGTCTTGAAACTCACTATGAAGCCTGGATGGCTTTGAACTCATAAATCATCCTGCCTTAGCCTCTTGGATATCAGGATAAATTTTGAGAGCAGCTATTTGTCTTAAAAAGTTTAAAATTGGGGGCTGGAGAGATGGCTCAGTGGTTAAGAGCATGTACTGCTCTTGCAGAGGACCAGGTTCAGTTCAGCATCCAAAGGGTCCTGTTCCAGGGCATTCAATGCCCTCTTCTGGCCTTTGCATGGTGCACTTACATTCATGCAGACAAAACACTCAACACATGTAAAATTTAAAAAAAAAAAAAAAAAAAACCACAGGGGCTGGAGAGATGGCTCAGCAGTTAAGAGCACTGACTGCTCTTGCAGAGGACCCAAGTTCAATTCCCAGCACCCACATGGTGGCTACGAACCGTCCTTAACTCCAGTTCCAGGGTAATCTGAAGCCCTTTTCTGACTTCCGTGGCATTGCATGACACAGGTGCACTCATATGCAGGAAATATACACATCAAAATAATAAACTTTTTTTTTTAAGTTTAAAATTATAGGTAGCCTGCAATCATTCAATATAGTTTTATTTAACAATTCAGCTGTTCGACATGGTACATATTTCATTCAAAAAGTAATAAGAGAGCTAGGTGTGAGCCACTACACCACTGGAAATAAACATCACATTATAGATTTTTAAATAGTCTTTTAAAAAATTTTTTAATTCAAATACGATTTAAATCCACATGGGAAATTTTTCCTATATTAAAAGGAATTCTGGGGGCTAAGGAGATGGTTGGTGGGTAAAGGCACTTGCTGTGCAAGCATGCGAGCCTGAGCTCAAATCCCCAGGGCACAGCTAAAAAGCCAAGTATAACTGTAAATGCCTGTATCATTGTGGGGTCGAGGCAGGTGGATCCTGAGGTCTTGATGGCTGTCAGCACAGCAAAAGAAAGACAAAGCTTCCCGGTCAGTGAGAGACAGTGCCCCAAAGGAATAAGGCAGACAACAACAGAAAAAAAAACAACCCCTATGCAACCTCCACATGCACTCAAGTGGGTCTACGTACCTGCACACTCACATGCATCTGTCCCTCACCCCCATCCACACAAACCATAAGCCAAATACATCTATTTCTTGTCAAACTGTGAATAAACATCATTTACTTTGCACAAACCTCCCCATATGATTTAAAGAAACAATTTTTTTTTTTTGGTCTTTTTAAGACAGGGTCTCCCTGTAGCCACAGCTGGCCTGATTCACTATGGAGATCAGGCTGGCCTCGAACTCACAGAGATCTGCCTGCCTCTGCCTCCCAAGTGCTGGAATTAAAGGTGTGTGCCACCATGCCTAGCAAGAAACAATTTTTTTAAAAAGCGCATCAGAGGCTGGAGAGATGGCTCAGAGGTTAAGAACACTGGTTGTTCTTGCATAAGACCCGGGTCATATCCCAGCACCCACATGGCAGCTAATAACTGTCCATAACTCTAGTCCCAGGGGATCCGACAGCCTCTTCTGACTTCTGTGGGCAATGCACAGATATGGGTGCACTTACCTACATGCAGGCAATACACGCATACACATAAAATATAAATTTTTTTTAAAAAGCGCATCATCAATAAATGATTTAGTAGACCGATCAATGCCTATAATGCACGTATTTTACTGATTTTCATTAAGTACTATAGTGATTTGTCTTTGAGGTAGTAAAAGAATAATGAATTCTTGAAAGGTGACATCATTGAGACTTTCAACTTTCATTTAGTGTCTCAAGAAAGCAAAAGTTCTATGTATATGGACATTAGGAAACTCAAACAAGATACCTGCTGTTCCTTTGAAGAAAGAATTACTAATAGACACGTAATACAGATGAAACCCTGATGTAATGCGGTAGAACAGAGCCAAACCCAAGAAGCATGTGTGGATTCCATTGAGGTTAATGGCCACCTGTTGTAAACAGATCAATAAATGGCCTAGGAAGATGTAGAAGAAAAAGCTGGGGTGCTGGAAATGTCCTACATCTTGACTTATAGTAATCACATAATTATATATATGTGGAACTTCACTGAGCTGTTCCCAAAAATTTGCATACTTTCTTATGTTAAACCTTTTAAAAAATAAATCATCTTTCTTAGGAGCTAGATAGCTTTCTAAATTTAAAAAAAAAAAAAAACCTTAAGATTTCTCAAAGAATACTAAAGTCATGTAGCTTTCCATATGAATTAAAACAACAACAAAACATTCCCAACAAGATTTCTTTAAGAGTAAAGTATAACAAATGGAACCATTAAAAAAGATCACAACTAAACTCAGGTAAGAAAACAATGCCCACAATCATTTGCAGAGAAGTAGAATTTTACTGAGCTCAGGAGGGAGATTGACTTCTATGCACTGCACCCACCATAACTAGCTCATCAGTACTAGCTATGTTTATGGAACAAGAAAGTATTAAAATCTCTTATGTAAACTAACGGCAGGAGTTAACTTTATACTTAGAAGAAAAAAACAGGTTAAAAAATTCCAAGATTACGAAGAGTATGAAAAAGACAAAAGGTTTAAACTTCTGGTATTTTTTAATTTAAAAGAAACTTTTAAGATTGTTCCTTACAAGATACCTGATGAAATGCAATGCGAAAACATTCTAGTATTCCTAAATCATCTGATCAGATAGAATCTACTATAGAAAAAGAAAACATAATCTATGAATATTCAATGACTGCTCTGAACAGGCTATTTGCTGTAAGAATCTTATACAACTAAATTAATAATTTTAAAATGGCATTGTCCAAACATCTCTGTAAGAAGCAAAATGTTTATCAGTGCCCTAATGATAAAGAATCAGAAATGCAAGTAGCAATTCTGAAGAAGGGCACATTGAGAAGAAAAGCAAAGTGAGCCTTCTCACCTGGGGTTTGTTTCTCACAATGTTTCCCATGCTGGTCTTCTGGGCTTCTTGCATTTCCTCCTGAGGAAAGCATCCATTAGATGTGTAGATTCTCTTCAGATACCAGTGACACCTATTAAGCACCTTTCTTCAGACAACCACAAACACTAACAAAGCAGTATTCCTTCTTTTGCCTAAAATATTTCTAAAAGGTCATTCGGAAATGGGAAGTTGTTTCTCTTTCCATTGAGGTGATGGAATATCAACACCTAGATGTAGTTCTTTAAATGACTCTCAACAGAATTTAGGAAGGTGTGGTAATGATGGTAATGATAAACACCATCTACCAATCAGCTACTTTTTTATTTCAAAATCTCATGGAAGCTATGTCTCCAGATTATAAAAAGAGTATCAGATCCCTCTCTATCTAGGTCTCTTGTCTTTCCTACTACGATATGAAGTAGAACACAGTGCTAAAAAAGCACATGGAAACCCATCAAGTTTTAAAATTCTCAGAATCCTTAGAGGTCTCATAGATGCTAGGTCACAAGCTAGTCTACCTTTGAACAAAAGTCTTTTTCTCTTCAAAAGCCAAATAAAGATCTAGGAATAGAAAAGATTAGCTAACAAAGATGAATAAGAGCTTGGAATATTAAGAGCATGTAGTATGAGCATAGAGAAATAAGAATACTATAAATGATCATCTTTCAACAACTGCCAAATGCCAGTGGTTCAATAAGCTTTCATGAGATGTTTGCATTTAGTCATTTCAGGCCATTCTCTATGATGATCCATTTGATCCATAAGAAATCAAATTTCCTTCAGAGATAAACCATAACATGACAACGTCTTAGTAGATGACAGACTTGTTAAAGTGAGGTTTACTAGATGACCAAAGACTATCATTACATTGCTACACCTACTTTGCCTTCTAAGAACTTAGTTTCTGTCAACAATTTTCATTTAATATGCAAGCTTAAATTCCACAGGAAGAGTAATCACTGTATTGCTGCTGTATTAATAAGCCCTTATGCAGATACTTACTGATGCTGACCAGGAACAGTAACACTTATGTGATAAATAGTACAATGCTCAAAATAAAGACACAGAAGATAGCAGAGCCAAGTAAGATGAAGTACCTTGTGACCCAAGACTGGAATCTAGAGAAGACGAAATCCTCCAGGAAACTGGTCTCTAAACAAAAGGAAACAAGCCACTACCCAATATACTTGTTTTTACCTGTAATTGGAATCAATTTCCAATGTATTTCAGTCTCTTCATCATCATTTGACTTAGACTGTTGTCTATGGAATCCATGTTCAATGGGAACAGTGGGACACAAACTGCACTCTTCAAAATTATTGACATTAATTAAATTTGGATCCTAAAAATTAAAGTACATATAGATTCACTAGCTTTCCTTCTAATTTTAATGTCAAGAATAGACAACAATAAGCAGATTCACAAATTTCAGTCTGAATATTACAAATGAGTAATACCAACATAAAGCTGTAATACTCTAGCTTCAATTTTAAAACATTTTGCCAAGGCCAGGAATGGCAGTACTTGCCTATAATCCCAGCATTTAGGAGGCAGAGGCAAGAATGACACCCAACAGGTATACATAGCAAGTTCTAGGCCAGTCACAGGTATATAGTGAGAACTTGTCTCAAACAAACAACAAAAACAGCAAGCAAAAAGCAGCTACTTTTTTTAGAAAGTAGATCAGTAGTCAAACTACGTATCACAAATAAACTGGATTCCTTAATAAAGGTGAGAATCAGCAAAGCACTCATTGTCTCATTACTATTTGCATGAGAATACAAAATACCTAATTTATTTGTGCCACTGGGGCACTGAGTTCAGTTGCTCTTATCTGCCACTTTTAATTGTTTTCAGGACTCAATTTTATTGTGAAAAAAAGAACTAACTCCTATACCAATCTGACAAACTTTCCAGTCCTAGTTTCATGGCACAGGTAAATCCTAGATTCTATATAAACCATACAAGCAGGATGGAAAACATAACATCAGGATTTACCTCTTTGCAACAAAGAAAGCTTAGAACCAGCCTGGACAGACACTTATACACAGGAGTATCTCTTAATTCTTTTTCAAAGGAAAATCCACTCTTTGAAGAATGCACATATCCCCTCTTGGACATATACACCAAACAAAGATAACTGGAAAGACTTGTTTACTTCTTTCAAACACAGGTTACAGCCAATGCCTACCTCAGTGGTAGAAAGAACAGATGGATACTTCAAAGATGCCGCATCACCTTCCAGCAATGGGCTCTGGGAACTCTTCAAATGTACACTCTCAATTTTTGTGCAAGCAGGCTGCTCATAGTCTTTCTTCTCTAGAGTAGAGCTCATCTCATACTCATGCTTTTGTCTGGGGTCTTCATAAGTGTCACCAGTACTCAATCCTAAGGCTTTGTTGATGGTATCTGTCAGGGAGGAATCAGAGTGTCCTGCATTGGCTATTGTTTCTGACAGCCAATTATAAAGCTTATTGATGTCAGCAATGCCAGAGGGGTTACATGTATCCTGCTGTTGCAGTGTCAAGTTAGGATCATGTCCAAGTAAGCCAATGGACTGTGGAGATTCTAAGAAAAAAGAAAGAAGAGTCATTTCTTGAAGCTTAAAAGCCAGGGTACTCAGTTATATGACAAGTTCAAGGGTAGCCTGGACTACATGAAACCCTGGGTCCAAAAAGACAAAACAAAACAAAAACTCAATATAAATACTTTGAAAATCAAATATACCTTTAAAATCACTTGTAAGACATTTGTGGGTAGGAACTAAATTATTTTAGGTTTAAATTTCACAAATATGTCCCTCCCTTACTTTAAAAATATTAACCTTCTGGAGCTGGAGACATGACTCAGCGGTTAAGAGCACTGACTGCTCTTGCAGAGGATCCAGGTTCGATTCCCAGCACCCACATGGCGACCACGAACCGTCCTTAACTCCAATTCCAGGGGAATCTGAAGCCCTCTTCTGACCTCCACAGCATTGCACGACACGGGTGCACTCACATACATGCAGGTAATACACTCATACACATAAAAAATAATAAAATATTTTTAAAAAATAAATAAATTTAGCCAGGCATGGTGGCACACACCTTTAATCCCAGCACTCAGAAGGCAGAGGCAGGCAGATCTCTGTGAGTTCAAGGCCAGCCTGGTCTATATAGTGAGTTCCAGGACAGCTGGGGCTACAGGGAGACCCTGTCTCAAAAAAAAATTAATTTAAAAATATTAACCTTCTGATACTCTGAACACAGGCAAAAACTCCTTTATATGAGTTATTATCTGTCACTACTTAAGCCTTCTATTAATAGGAAAATGAGCTCAGGCACTAAGGTAGAAGTAGAAGTAATATTAATGACCATAACCACAGTTACCATAAATTCTACCATCAAAATCCCAATCAGGTGTTAAGACAAAAGATGATATATTTCACACATAGACACACATGAGCAAGGATGGCTCAGCCAAGTAAATGTACTTGCCACCAAGCCTGATGACCTGAGCTCAAGCTCAAAAACTTACATGATGGGAAAGGAAAACTGACTCCACAAGTTATCTTCTGATTACCACACCTGTGCCATGACACACACAGACACATACAAATAAATGTAGTAATAAAAAAATTAAGAAACTCCAACTGTCTAATTAAAACGGGTACATTATAAACTATACTCTTCCAGGCTGGAGAGATGGCTCAGAGGTTAAGAGTGTGGACTGCTCTTGTAGAGGACCCAGGTTCAAATCACAGCACCCACATGGTGGCTAACAACCTCAATAACTCCAGTTCCAAGGGATCCAATACCCTCTTCTGACCTCTGCGGGCACTGCATGACACGGGTGCACTGACATACATGCAGGCAGCACACTCATACACATAAAATAAGTAAAAAAATTTTTTTAAATTATACTCTATACTCTTCCCCCAAAGAAATGACATTAGTGCTGAAGACAGAGCAGTGGTACTGCACTTGCCTGGCATTGTGTGAAGCCCCAGGTTTCATTCCCTGAAGCAATAAAAATAAAACTACTAATGCTAAAATTAGGTGGCTTCACAACAAATCAAAAAAGCACACTGTTTTAAAAGCTGACTTCTGTCGTAAAATCAACTTTCAGAAACAAAGATGTATTAAGGACTAAGTAATAAACACAAAAAGCCCAACTCCAACACTCAGTAATTTTAGTTTGACTATCAACAGTTCCTCCCCTGCCATTTCATCTATTATAATTAATGTGACTTGCCCATCATCTAAATTATTGATGATGCCAAATTTCACCTACACTATTTTCACCTACACAACACAGAACTAGTAAATTACCAGCTAAACAAATACAGAAAAATAAGTATCTTGTTTATCAAGTGCCAACTATGTGCTGAATTTGATAAAATGCAAGGGACTTTAGAACAATGCTTTGGCTTGGTCAGAATGAGCTTAAAATATCAACTCTGCAACTATCTAACTTTAGGTAACATTATTTAACTCACTTGAGGTTTGTCTATCTATAAAATGAAGACAATAACACCTACAACTGAAGGAGTCCATAAAGCACCTAACCCATAGTAAGTAAGCACTTGAACTCTCAACACACAGGTCAATGGTATAAGACAATATATATTGATATCCACAGGATCACAAGCCCAGCATAACACAAAGAACATGGAGACCAGTGAGATCAGAAAACCCGAGACAATCTAATGTGTGAAAATATAAAACACAAGAAAAGGAAAAGAAAATAAGGAAAGGGAAAAGGCACATTACAGGGCCAAAGATAGGTCTTATCCAAAGAGCATGGCCAGACCTGACTAGTCTGAAACAAAGTCTTGGAAAGCTAAAATACTGAAGGTAAAATGGGCCCTAAGTTAATAAAGCAATACTGACAGGAACATGGTATTGAAACAAGTCAAGGAAATTAAAAAACCAAGGACACCAAGGAGATGAAACTGTAAGACAAGGATGAAAAATCAAGAGGCACACAAGGCAAGTAAACAAAAAAACCCTCAAAGGTACATCAGATTAACTGCACTGTCAAACAAAACTTTCTGCTATGAATGAAATCGTCCCTATCTATATGATCTAATATAGCTGTATAATTGGTAAATTTTTTATTTCATCAATAATTTAAACTTAAAGAATGTACTGTGTTAATGGCTGGGCGTGGTGGCACATGCCTTTAATCCCAGTACTTGGGAGGCAGATCTCTTGTGAGTTCAAGGTCAGTCTGGTTTACACAGGGAGTTCTAGGCCAGGTAGGGCTACAGGGAGACACTGTCTCAAAAAGACAAAAAGAATGCATGTTTAGTGACTACCAATGGAAAATTCAAGTACAAAGGATGTAAAGGCACCAAGCCCAGTGATACGGTCCTACTACAATCCCAGCCACTTAGGAGGCCAAAGCAAGAAAATCACAAGTTTAAAGGCCAGTCTGGACTAAAGAGTGAGTTAAAGTCCAGTCTAGCCAATTTGGTGAGACTGTCTTAAACCAACAGTAAAGAGAGTTGGGGATGAGTTCCTAACATGGGAAACACTCATGATTCAATCAATCCCCAATACTGCTAAAAAGAGCAAATAGATGAAAAGTTAGAACACCAAGAACATTAAAGTATATTATATAGTAAGTACATTAACCTATCCAATCTAGTCACAGACAAATGCATTTGAGAAGATAAGCAAAATTGCTCATTAAGAAATGGAGGAATATTCAGACCTGTCATTATCAAGAACAGAAGCACAAAATATGAATTATAGGGAATGGAGAGATGGCTTAGTAGTTAAGATCACTGGCAGTCTTTGCAGAGGACCCAGGTTTGGTTACCAGCAACCACATGGTGGCTAATAACCATTTGTGACACCTTCTTCTGGCCTCCACTGGGCACTGTGGGTGGTGCACTTATATGTAGGCAAAACATTCATACATCTAAAATAAAAATAAAATTTTAAAAAGTTAATGTGAATTGGCTGGACATGGTGGCACATGCCTTTAATCCCAGCACAGAGACAGGTAGGTCTCTACGAAATCCAGGGTAGCCTGGTCTATATAATAAGTTCCAGGCCAGCTGGGGCTTAAAAGAAAACCAGTCTCAAAACATAAAAAACAAAAAAATTTAATGGCTCAGCATGGAGGCACAAGCGTTTATTTAATCCCGGCACTTAGGAGGCAGAGCCAGGTGGATCTCTCAGTTCAAGGCCTGCCTGATCCACAAAGTGAGTTCCAGGACAGCTGCGGCTACAGGGAGACCCTGTCTCAAAAGACCAAAAAATAAAAATGACAAAAAATTTTCAAAGAAAATTGCTGCAAATGTTCCTAAGTAAAATCAAAAACAAAAATGCATAAAACACATTTCATGCTTTTGAACCAGCAATTATAAAAGTATTAAAATTTTGAGTATTAAGGCTGGAGAGATGGTTCGGCAGTTAAGACCACTGGCTGCTCCTGCAGGGGACCCAGGTTCAAATCCCAACACCCACGCTGTGGCTTACAACTATCCATAACTCCAGTTCCAGGGGATCTGACGCCATCTTCTGACCTCCTTGGGCACTGCATGTCATGGGTTCACTTATATACATGCAGGCAATACAGTCATACATATAAAAAAAATTTTTTTGTCTTTTTGAGGCAGAGTCTCCCTACAGCCCCAGCTGGCCTGGAACTATGTAGACCAGGCTGGCCTTCAACTCAGAGATCTACCTGCCTCTGCCTCCCAAGCACTGGGATCAAAGGCGTGCGCCACCACCATCCAGCCTCAACATAAAACTTTTTTTAAATGAGTATACAGTCTAAAATAATTCAATAGTTTAATATGTTTCTCCAATTGTGAAAATAAAATATAAAAGAAAAGGAGCTGATTTCAAGCTCTAATTAGAAGCTTACAGTTAAATTCACTTTATTAATCTAAATATTTCAGAAATATAGCATACCAGGGCAACTATTTTCTATACAGGATCAGACATTTAAATACTTTAGGCTTCATAGGCCACAAATAGTCTTTACTGCAACTCTGCTGTTGATCGTTTGAAAGCAGTTATATACTCATAAATGACTGGGCATGCTTATGCTTGTATTTCAATATAATTTTCTTTTTAAAAACAGGAAACAGCTCGGTATGGTGGCACACACCTTTAATCCCAACACTTGGGAGGCAGAGGTAGGCAGATCTTTTCAAGTTCAAGGCCAGACTGGTCTACATAGTGAGTTCTAGGAGAGCTGTGGCTATAGGGAGACCGTTGACAACTAACTGCTTCAGTGGAAACAGGGATCAATATCCCTGGGAAGGTAATAAGTACCTAAGATGGAAATTTGAGAAACACCAAAATATGCAAGAATATACCAGATGTCATCTTTGTATTTCGATCCAGAGCCCATTTGGGTGATGGCAAGCATGATTCATAATTCTTTGGATTCTGCAAAGAAAAATGAGTCCTAACAAAGACTTAAAGAACATGGCTTATAGAAGACCACAAGCAAAGCAGTGAAAGGAACACAAGAATGAAATAAAGAAAATCAGCAGGACTGCAAAGGTCAATGTTGGTGCTGGCAGGAAGTGGGCAGAAGAGTGGTTAACAGTAGATGTGAAGACTCTGCAGTAACTTATCTGCTGTGATGGTGTAAAACTTCTCAGATGATTAATCATAAAACCTTAAAACAAAACAGAACAACAACAAAAAAAAAACACCAATACTGAACAAGGTAGCAGGCTTGCTCACACCTATAACCTCGCTCTGGGAAGCTGAGGCAGGAGGACTGTTCAGTTGAGTTGCAAGTTCCAGACCAGTCAGTGCTCCACTGTGAGACCCTGTCTTAGGAGTGGGCATGAATGAAACAGGACCAACATTACACTGAAACATAAACCAACACAAACAAACCCAGGAGACTTTTTAGTCTTAGCTCTAGGGCTTCATAATTTGTAAATTCCTATACCATGGGAAAGAACACAACCAATGTTCTTTATTTTGACTATTGTTCTAAAGAATAATTTGTCTTTTTACCTTCATACAGACGGTAATTTTCAGATAAATTACTGGTTTTGGCAAACTTTCTCATATTTTCAGGTAGACCCTCAAGCTTCCTCTTCAAGACATTTTTGCTTCTTGGCTCTTCTGTGTCCGTATCCCCGCCCACATTTTTTTTCTTACACTGAATTAAATCAATCAATTCTTTGACTTTATCCTTATCATAATCCAAAGAGTGAGAGGACTTCGGCTTTCCAGGGTTAATTGTTTCACCCCTTGAGTTATTTCGTTTTCCAAACTTCATTTTTGAACCATTCATTTCTTCTTCTTGACCTTCATAATCTGAAAGTGGACTAAATTGTTGACGTTTTCTATTTTCTTCAAATAATTCTTTTAATTTAAAAATAGGTAACTGATACATTTCAGGCTGAAAAATATAGGTATGCAAGCAATCAGCAATATGGGATTTATTTCTTGGTGCCGAGTATAAGAATTTTTTATCATCTAATCGTGAATCATATGAAAACATGAAAAACTCTCGTTTACCTGAACCAAAACCTCGTTTAAAAAATTCACTTACATACTTTTCAACAACAGAATGAAAATTAATAGTGTTTATACTTTTGAATTCCTTTCGACACTGAATTAAAGCAAACTGTAAAAACTGAGTTATTTTTAATATATCTGACATGTTCTCATGCCTTTCTTGTGGTGCTGAATTGGTTGAACCTTTTTGTGCTGCAAACAAAAGAATAAACTATATTAGCAATGAAAAAACCAATCAAATACATACAAATCTGCATACTGTCAAAGAAGTGAAACAAATGTGTGTCTACTTCTGAAACACACATTTGTAACACAACAAATATATGAGCTGCCTAAAATAGTGCCAATAACAAACTCAAATGAAAAGCTAGAACAAAAATTTTTTTGTCTTTTTTGAGACAGGGTCTCCCAGATGACCTGAACTCACTATGTAGACCAGGCTGGTCTTGAACTCACAAGGATCTGCCTGCCTCTGCCTCCTGAGTGCTGGGATTAAAGGCTGTGCACCACCATGTCCTAAGGGCTTAGAACAAATATTTAAAGGAAAAATTCCCCACTCACTGAAGATCTTCACTTCCTATTGTCCCCAGTGGTACATTGCAAGAAGTAAAAGGGCAAGATCTGAGATTCCAAGCAAAGCCAGTCCTGCAAATTACAGCAATGGTACTTGGTTTTCTCATAAAGCAGCAATTTTAACTTTATAAGAAACTCATTTCCTCATAAGCAAATACACATTGAGTAGGCACAACTGAGAAACTCAGACTCAATCTAACAGTAAGCCCATTAGTAGGAATTTCACCTGAATTTCACATTAGTATTCAAGTTTGTTATTAGAAAAGGCACATTTTCTCTGGCCTAAGTATCTCAAATTTTTATTAACCTGGAATGTGCCCCCACCCCACCCTCATCCATTCGTCTATCCGCCCACCCTTCCAACCCCGCTTTTTGAGACAGGGTCTCCCTGTAGCCCCAGTTGGCCTGAAACTCCCTATGCACACCAGCTTGGCCTCAATCTCTCAAGATTTGCCTGCCTCTGCCTCTTGAGATTAAAGGGGTATACTACGACACTCGGCAGAGCAGTCAGTATTTAATGACACATGACACTTTAAAGCTACGGAAACTGAACTAAGCTAAGTTTTGAAACCCTCAAAAACTGAGCTCTAGGGGCTGGACAGACAGCTCAGCAGTTAAAAGCACTGACCCAGGTTCAATTCCTAGCACCCACATGGCAGCTATGAACCGTCCTAACTCCAGTTCCAGGGGAATCCAAAGCCTTCTTCTGACCTCTGTGGCATTGCATGACACGGTGCACTCATACATGCAGGCAATACACTCATACATATAAAATTAAAATCATAAATATTTTTAAAAACCTGAGCTCTAGTACTGAAACAATTATAATGAAATTTCTTTAATTAAAGTGCTGCGATTTTTTTTTCCTACTTAAGAAAAAAATCCAAAGCCTGGAGTGATGGCATATGCCTATCGTATCTCAGCACCTGAGGCAGAGGCAGGAGGATCACCCAGGAGTTCAAGGCTAGACGAGTTACATAATGAGACGTTGCCTTAAAAAGACCAAGAACAGGATGACCTGTCATTAAATCATATGCATTTTATATAATTAATTCCACCAAATAATCCCAAGTATTTCCCAAAATATGATGTAGGGAAGACAAAATATAAGCTGACTTAATTTTTCAATAGAACAGTATTTATTAGCAATCATATTTCAATATCCAAAAAACTTACAAATAATTATGCATCTAGGTTCTTGAAACATAAAGAGAGCGTGTAGGAACCGAGACTTGACAGTCTGATGTTCTAAAAAACAGAAATCAAATTCATTAGCAAAGTACTTTTTAAAAAAATAATTTATTATTTTTATTTTATGCATCTGACTGTATTGCCTGCATGTATATAAAAGTGCACTTGTGTCATACACTGCCCCCAGGTCAGAAGAGGACATTGGATTCCCCTGGAACTGGAGTTACAGTTGATAGTCACCATGTGGGTGCTGGGAAATCAAACTCAACTAGGATCCTCTGCAAGAGCAGCCAGTACTCTTAACCACTGAGCCATAGCACCAGCCCCCTAGGCAAGGTATTTTTACTGATTTACTATAAAAATTAAAAACAGGCTACTTACCATATGGTGAAATCATCTGACAAGGAGAGAGAAGAAAAAGGTACCCTCGGTCTTCCAAAGGTTTAACAAGAACCTGTATTTTGGGGAGAAGGAAAAGGTTGTATTCCCTTATATTACACCATAAGGTGTAATACAGAACTTTCTACTAAATATTATAATCATCTTTTTAGAAAAACGCTACAGTAGGTTAAAAACTTTTCAGTAGGGAAAAAAAAAAAGCCGTCTTACTCTGTTGATTAATAATATTCCAATCAAGTGAAAACATTTTCTTATACTGAGAATGCTCTGAAAATAACAGTCTTAAAACAACCTGTTAAATTTTCCCTTAATGTTGAAATATGGAGACTCTAGTATTTTTCTTATCAGTTCAAAAGACACTAATTGCCAAGTAGCATGCTGAGTATTTCGTAGAAAACATGCTTTTTAAACACTGCCTTTGAAATGTTCAAAATAATATTGAATTAAGTATTTGCTAGAATCTAATACCATACATATTTACTGCATATCTGATTTTATGAAATCTGACCTGTCCAAAAGATAAGCAGCACAAAGTCCTCAATCACAAGATAACACAAAAATACCACTAGTTATGTAACACAGGCAAGATCCCCCAAAAGAATTACAAAGCAATAAGAATGGAAAAGTACAGTTTGTTGTTTATGGCAAAAAAAAAAAAAAAAAAGGGTCAAAAAAAAAAGGCTTACAACAGACTGTAGTGAAGGTAGATTATGAAGGATGGGCATTTTGACAAGACTCTGAGACTGCAGGAGAGGCAACATTATGAGGAAGAGCAAGTTATAATGGGCAGTTTGCAGGTTCTCTATACTTCTAACTGGCTAAAGGATGAGGACAGACTAAGAGAAATGTTCTAAATGTTTAATAGAAGTCTAGAAGTGAAGATCAGGGATCAAAGTCAAGATTTCAATTTAGCCAGGAATGCCTCTGAGGCTGTATTCTCTTTTAAACTTAACTACTTTCTCCAAATAACAACAATAAACTAAACATGTGAGGGCACTGTTTTGGAAGAAGAGAAAACCAAAGCAAAGCACTTATTTCAGGAGCTACTAAAGTATCTGCTGCCGAACGTGGTGGTGCGCGCCTTTGATCCCAGCCCTTGGGAGGCAGAAGCAAGCAGGTATCTGTAAGTTCAAGCGAGGACAGCCTGGTCCAAACAGTAACTTCCAAGTGGGCTGGGATTAGGGAGAGAGACCTTGTCAAAAAAACAATAATAATAATAATAATAAAAAAATAGGAGCCGGGTGTGGTGGCACACACCTTTAATCCCAGCACTTGGGAGGCAGAGGCAGGCAGATCTTTGTGAGGCCAGCCTGATCCACATATCGAGTTCCAGGACAGCTAGGGCTACAGGGAGATGCTGTTTCAAAAAGACCAAAAAAAAAAAAGTATTTCCTAGATTATAAGGACGAGTTGAACACAAAAGGATATTTGCACTCTGAAAATTATGCTACATGAATGGTTATTAACCATACAAAGAATAAATTCACCATATGAACTCAAAATTTAAAGATTAAAAAGTGACTGTGCTAGTAAAAACACTGAGCACTCAATAGTAAGTGGTGCCACATCCGGGGATTTCAAGGTACTTCCAGCTAACCAGCTTCCTCAGGGGTGACCTCTCCCTTTCAATTCAATCTACCCAAAGGTAACTCTTACTGTCTGATGCTCAGGCAGTGCTCTTACAAGACTGATAGCTAGAATAGGCTGGTGGCAAGAGCCACATATAGGCAGGGGCAGGAGGTAGGTTGGGAGAAGTGTCAGAAGTTGTGACCTACCCAACTTAGGTGCTATAACCCAACTCGAGTCCTTTGGAAGAGCAGCAAGCACTCTAAACCACTGAGCCATCTTTTCAGTCCCAAAAATTATCTTAAGAAAAAAATCTCTAGGTGAAATTGAATGAATATAGATAACATTGCTAAACCCTAGTATTTTTTTAAAGGCTAGGGGAAAAAAAGTGTTCTCTCTCAGAGAAATCACAATACACGAAAGTAAATATTTCATCCAGATTTGACAAATATAAATAGCAGTTATATTTCCAAATATTCAACAAGCAGAAAATATACTGAAATGAGGCTACAGAATATAACTCAGAGGGCAAGCATTTGCTTAGAATTCAAAGCCCCATTATTCAAGAACCAGCAAAACACACACTGCGAGGCGTGGTGGCACATGCCTTTAGTCCCACCACTTGGGAGGCAGAGGCAGCCACCACTTGGGAGGCAGAGGCAGGAGATCTGTGAGTTCAAGGCCAGCCTGTTCTATATGGGGAGCTCCAGGCCAGCTGAGGCTACAGGGAGACTCTGTCTTAAGAAGACCAAAATCAATCAATCAGTCTCTCTCTGTCTCTCTGTTTCTCTCTCTCACACACACACACACCAAAACCCACAACAAAGTACTGAAATAGAAGTAGAAAGTACTGTTAACACACAAACACCAAAAAAAACACAAAATACTAAAATACAAAGTATTGGTCAGGATAACATAGATGCCTGGGGGTAGATCAAACAAAAAAACTGCGGAGGGAGGCTGAGACAAGAGGATCCCAAGTTCAAGACTGGCCTGAATGACAGACCAAGTTCCAGATGGATTACTATTTATGGCCACAGATTAGTGTTACAGTCAGGCTTGGTTGGAGAAGCTTTCTTTTTGCAGTGGTCAGCAGTGACTACAGACATAAAACTGGTAAAAGTGCAAAGAATAAATCACTACCGAACATCCAGCCATAAACTGGGCATCTATATCAATCCAAAGCTCAAGAACATTGTGGATACAGGGATAGAAGCAACTTAAGAGCTGGAAGAAACAAGTCCAACAGTGAGGAAAACAGACTTTGGGCATGGCATGGCTTTTGCTTTTCTGAACTCATAGCAGCTGTGATTACCTGCACATAATTAAGTCCATCAATACTGTCATGGAAGCGGGAAGGGCTCATGGGTTCCATCCCTCCCTGAAGAGTTATATAGTTTATGATTGGTGTAGACAGGAGAGGCATTTTACTTAGTAGTGTAGCCACTGATGGGTACCTATGTAACTGTAAACAAATCATCTATACTACTGTAACTATAATGACGAAAAAAAAGACTGAAGTAGAAGGAAGCAGGGGAAGAGGAAGGGAACAGGGAATAAGATAGGGTAAAAGGGGTATGATCAAATATATTATGTACATGTATGAAACTGTCATAATAAAACCAAGTATTATATATAAGTTATATATGCTGATTAAAAACATTCAAAAAGAATTTTTTAAAAAATGAACAAAACAAAAAGATGAAGACTGATAGAGGAAGACACCAGACATTAATCTCTAGTTTTTAAAAATGTGTTCACAGGGGCTGAAGAGATGGCTCACTGGTTAAGAACACTAGCTGTTCTTGCAGAAGACCCAGGTTCGAATCCCAGCACCCACATGGCAGCTAACTACTGTCTGTAACTCCAGTCCCAGGGGATCCAACAGCCTCTCCTGACCTCCCCGGGCACTGCACGACACCGGTGCACTTACCTACATGCAGGCAATACACTCATACACATAAAATAAATATAAACAAAATTTTAAAAAATATGTGGACAAGGACAAGAACATGTAAGTGCAGACATGCTTGTGCAAGCAAACACGCACACACAAATTCTGATGGGGAAGAGGCGTTTGACAAGCTCATTTAAATATTTTTGAAAAAAATCTAACTCAGGGTCGGTGAGATGGCTCAGTGACTAAAGGTGCTTGCTGCCAAGCCAGACCTGAGTTTGATTCCCAAGACCTACAAAGGTAGAAGGAAAGAACTTCTAAAAGTTGTTCTCTGACCTACAGAGAGAGACACATAGACACACACACACACACACACACACACACACACACAGAGTAATAAAACTCTAAAGTCCAAATAACACTCCATAAAATCTGAAAGGAAAAGTCAGGTACGGTGGTACATGCCTTTAATCCTAGCACTCTGGAAGCAGTGGCAGGTGGATCTCTGAGAAATAAAGACTAGCATGGTATCCATAGCAAGTCCCAGGCCAGCTGTGGCTACAGGGAGATCCAGGTGCGTTATTTAATAAATGATTCAGGAATTTGTTATTCATAGAGGGAAAATAAAGTTCTGTCCCTATATTACACAATGCAAAACTAAAAAGCAAGATAAAACTCAAATTAGCAAGGAAACACAAGCCTCAGAGGAAAATATAGAAAAAAGACACAAACAGGCACTGGACATCAAAAGAAATCAAATTATAAATTTATTTTTTCATTTCAAGAAAACACAAATGGCCAAGTATGGTGTGCACACTTTTCATCTCAGATCTCTTTAAGATTGAGGACAGCCTGGTCTACATAGCAAATTCTAGACCAGCTAAGGGAAGACCCTGACTTTTAAAAAAAAACAAGCTGCCAGGCATGATGGCACAAGCCTTTGATTCCAGCACTGCAGAGGCAGGTGGAGCTCTGTGAGTTCAAGGCCAGCCTCGTCTACATAGTGAGTTCCAGTAAAGCTGGGGCTACAGGATACCCTGTCTCAAAAAGACCAAAAAAAAAAAAAAAAATCATATTAAATTCTATTTTACACTTATAAAACTGGCCAATGACTGCTGAAATCTGACTATGCAAAGTACTTCTGAATACAGAAATCAATAGTAACTCACTCCTATAGATATCATCAGTACTAACATTTAATGTAGCATTATCTTCTAAAGTCAGTAATGTACACACATTATAATTCAACCATTCTACTTCTAGATATATACTTCACAGAAAATTTTTTTTTAATATTTTATTTATTATCTTTATGTGTACGAGTATATCGCCTGCATGTATGTGAGTGCACCCGTGTCGTGCAATGCCACGGGGGGTCAGAAGAGGGCTTCGGATTCCCCTGGAATTGGAGTTAAGGATGGTTTGTAGCCACCATGTGGGTGCTAGGAATCGAACCTGGGTCCTCTGCAAGAGCAGTCAGTGCTCTTAACTGCTGAGCCATCTCTCCAGCCCCACAGAAAATCTTGTACATATGAATTAGAAAATTATTGAAGAGTATTCACAGCAGAGACAACATTCAGATTTAACAACTCCCTCTCTGTTAATTTTAGCTTTAAAAATTAACTCACCACCAAACAAGGTTACTTTAGTTATAAGCCTCCTTGCAGGGAAGTAACTGGGATTCCTCAACGCTTTTGCAAAAAGCCCTTATCTTCTATTACCAAGGAATATTCGTGATAAACATTTACTTTCATTTCCCCACAAATACTTCCCCACATGCATCCCACCAATAAAGCCAGCTATGGTGGTGCACGCCTTTAATCCCAGCATTTGGGAGGCAGAGGCAGGTGAATCTCTGAGTTCAAGGCCAGCCTGGTCTACATAGTGAGTTCCAGGCTAGCTGGGGCTTTTTGTCTCAGAAAGACAAAAAAATAAATAAATAAAAATTCTGCCCATGCTCATTTGCTCAGATCTAAAAGGTTAATAAATTATATATTTACCAGGCAGGCATGACACATGCCTTTGTCTCAGTACTGGGAAGGCAGGAACAGGCAGATGGATCTCTCTGTGAGTTCAAGACCAGCCTGATCTACACACTGAGTTCCAGGCCAGGTGGTACTACATACAGGAGACCTTGTCTCAAAAAGACCAAAGGGGGGGAAAAGAATGTATTTACCTAGATTGTCAAGTAGGTGTGCTGCATAACTTTAGTTGTCAATTTGACACACTTGAGTAAAGGGAACCTCAACTGAGGAATTTCCTCTATTGGATTGGCCTGTGGGCATGTCTATAGGAAATTTTCTTGATGTGGGAGGGCTCAGCCCACTGTAGGCAGTGCCATCCCTAGACAGATGGTCCTATGTTGTATAAGAAAGCAGGCTGACCATGTACCAGGGGAGCAAGCCAGTAAGCAACTATCCTCCATGGTTTGTGCTTTACTTCCTGCCCATAGATCCTATCCTGGTTTCTCTTATGATGAACTGTAAGCTGAAGGTGAAATAAACCCTTTCTTCCCCAAGTTGGTTTTGGTCAGGGTTTTTATCACAGCACTAGAAAGTAAATAGGATAGAAATTGGTAGAGAGTAGGCTATCAAAATGACCCAGTTGTTTTGGGGAAGGATTCTGGAAGCTTTTGAGCTTTGAAATGGAAAAGTCATTGAGTGCTTAAAGTTTAGTGAGCTATTGCTATGAAGCTTGGCACACTTATAATGAAGAGAAATGTGGATGATGGAGGTCTGGTATGTCAAGTTTCAAAGGAAGCAAAGATTATCATGGCTGTTTGTACAATATTTTGAATTAAGGATCCGAAGTTTCTGGTCAGCTGGGGCTGAAGGTCAGTTATGATTAAGAAGAGACCAGTACCACTGAAATGAAACCTTTGCTTTACTGGGACAATTGATGCTGGCTGGGGGGGGCGGGGGAATCAGCAGTAACAAGAGACTAACAACATTGTAGCAAAATCTTCTGAAAAGTATTTCCTCGGGGTCAGTACACAGAAGCTGTGGTCCAGAGGAGTCCAAAGCCTCCATCTCAATCTGGAAGCAAGACTTGGTCATGTATGAGTCTCCTACATGGTGCTGGTGTTGAAAATGTAAAAGGGTTATGGAGACAATCTGAGGCTTTGCCTGAGAGGCCAAGAGAGCCCACTGGTGTAGCCTCAGTTTCAGTAGAAACTGCAGCATATTGGAGATGCCAGGACCAGGGGGACAACCAACAAGGTCAGTGGCAGGTGTGAAGTGAACAGAGCTGGCCTGAGAATATGAGACAAGCCGTGTGTGCTGTGGATGGCAGAGCTAACAAGTAGAGGTACTCAAGACCTTTGAAGCCCAGATCATGAGTGACTCCAGATGTCCAACACTGAGCTACAATGCTGGACTTCTGTTATGTGTAAGTGTACCCAGTTCCCTTTTGAAATAAGACAGTATGTAGCTTGTTTTGGATTTTACAGGAGCCCTCAGTTAAACTTTTTAAAGAATTCTGAACTTTAATTGCTCGAATTTTTAAGGTCTGTGGGACCTTAAAGTCATACTATTTTATATTGTAATATTAGTATTAAAATGAGATCTTGGGTATAAGAAATGCTAAGGTTGTGGCTCAATAGTGATGTGTTTGTATGTAAAGTTGATACAAGGTCGACTATGTTAGGTAGCTTCAGTTGTCAACTGTGGTCATGTCTGTGAGGCAATTTATTGATTGTTGAATGATGTGGAAGGTCAGCCCACTGTGAGCTGTGCCACCCTGGGCAGGTGGTCCTATGTTGTATAACAAGTGGGTTGAGCATGGGCCAGAGAAGCAAGCCAGTAAGCAGCATTCCTTCATGGTCTGTACTCAGTTCCTGTCCATAGCTCCTGCTCTGGTTTCCCCTCATGATGAACTGTAAGCCGAAGGTAAAATAAACACTTTCTTCCCCAAGTTGGTTTTGGTCATTATACTTTATCACAGCAAAAGAAAGTAACTAGAACACTCAGTAAAGCCAAGGAGTTTCAGCAAGATAGGTTCGTCCTGAGGACCACTATGGGTGGTGCCAACCCTGGGCAGGTGGCCCTTAGCTATATAAAAAAGTAGGCTGTGCACAGGCCAGGAGAGCAAGCCGGTAAGCAGCATTCCTCTGTGGTCTGTGTTTCAATTTCTGCCTCCAGGTTTCTGCTTGAATTCCTGGCCTGGCTTCCTCCAATGAAGGATTGTACTGTAAGCTGAAATAAACCCTTTCCTCCTCAAGCTGCTTTTGGTAGTGTTTTATCACAGCTAACTAGGGTGCCAAGACTGGAGAACTACCTCCCTAGGTATCTATCTATCTGCCTTCTAAAAATGAATATATTGCAGTTCCTGAAGAAATTTTATTTATAGCCCCACTTTGAGGTGGGAATGAGGTGAACAACTGTCTCCTTCCTCCTAAGCAATATCCTTTGTCATTATCCTGTCTTTGAAGTACTAAGCTAATTAATAAGAAAACTGGCCCCTCTCTCTCATTGCATTGCCCATAGTAAAGAATTCATAGAACTTAAAACAGAATAATGTGAATGCATTACAGACAAAATTGTTAAAAACCCGACACTCTGGGATGGGGATATAGCTCAGCTGATAGAGTGCTTACCTAGCATGCATGAAGCCCTGAGTTGAATTCCTAGAACTACACAGAAATGAGTGTGGTGGTACACTCCTATAATCCCAGCACTGGGGAGATAAGGAAGACTGAGTTCAACGTCAACCTTGGCTACATAGTATCCTGGGTTAAATCTCCCTTTCCAATCTTATTATTCTTACCTTTCTCATTCAATCTGCCATTGCCTTTTAATGGACTGTTTTTCTACACATCTCCTTTCAATTATTATTAGTAACCAAGGTAAACATTCAAAAAACCCAAGACTGATGCTGCACATACATGGCAAGGCTTGGTCCTACTCTTTTTATTTTTAAAAATACTTTATTTTTATCTTATGTGTGTGTGTTTTGCCTGCATATATGTAAGTATACCATGTGGACGCAATGCCCACAGAGGCCAGAAAAGGATGTTAGATCCCCTGGAACTGGGTTACAGGTGGTTGTGAGCTGCCATGTGGGTGCTGAGAATCAAACCCAAGTCCTCTGGAAAAACTTCAAGTGTTGTTAACCACTGATCCATCTCTCTAGCCCCATCCTACTCTTTTTTTTTTTTTTTTGTCTTTTTGAGACAGAGTTCCCCTGTAGTCCCAGCTGGCCTGGAAATCACTAGATAGATCAGGCTGGCCTTGAACTCATGGAGATCCAACTGCCTCTGCCTGGATTATAGGCGTGTACCATCACACCCGGCCCATCCTGCATTTTTTAAACCCTTCAAAATCCATTGTTCTCAAGACATAGTCTAAATTCCTATTCCAACAAGGCCTGAAAAATGCTGAATGACATCACTCCATACTACTTCCAGCTATCCTAGTATTCTTTTATCTCTTCCACACCAAGTGTCATGTTCTTGTTCTTGTGATCTTAAAATATGCTAGTCTCTACTCTAAAACCAAACTACATTTAAATAACTTTATTCATCAGTCTATATAGTACAAAACAGTTTTTGTCTCATTCTTTACTGAACTATATATATACTGCCTAAGAAAACAATATTCTATAAATATTTGTTGATAATCAGTTAAAACTATTATAACCACAAAGTATAACAAAAATAGCTCTATAGAAGAGATAAAAGA